CATTAAAAAAGCAGAATCTCAGCCTCCATTCCAGCCCAGAGTCCACAGTGCTGCGTGGGCACGAGGCAGTCTGAGAGCGCAGGCACCGCGGACCCTCAGGAGAGTCGGGTGCAAGACCCACATCCTTGTCCCAGAGATGCAGCCTCCTCACAGATGAGGTGATGGCTCTTGCCCCTCCGTCCCCGGGTCAGCTGGGAAGGAACTGAAATCACATACAGGAAGTCAGTTTGAACATGGTAAAAACCCGTGCAAGTGTAAGAGAAAGCTAGGAGTGAGAATTTTTACATGTTATACTTGGCCTTCGTTAGATGATCTGCTTTATGTGAGTTCTACTAGCAGCAGAACCAATATTCACTTGTAACCATTTGTCATGCATCAAGTAGTGTTTGGGCGGACCTGACCAAGTTTTCAAAGGGTTCTCTCAGCCTGGTCTCCCCAGAGCTCAGATGAATGCAATTGTTTTCTGGTTTTTTAAACAAGACCTTTCACACCTGGGACCGTCCTAGGGTCCCAGATGTGTTCCTTTGTTGAGCCTAACATGGGGTATAATAGGTGCTTAATGATGCTTGTTGATTAAATCACAAATTAGCCCTCAGCAAGGTCCCAACACTAGCCTGATGTTCTTCACATCAATCCATTTATGATAGATTATTTACCTCATTAGAGACTTAACATGGCTACAGGAAGACTTGGTCATCTCACATAAATATCAAATATTTGTTAAGAAAATAGGCTTCTCATAATTCTTCAAAAAGAATAAAATACCTAGGAATAAATCTAATCTAAGATGTAAAAGACCTTTACTTGTTATAAGTATATTATAAGACACTGAAGAGAGAATCTGAGGAAGACTGGTGGAAGCACATACTGTGTGCATGGGTAGGAAGAACTGAATCAGTAAAATGTCCATACTACCCAAAGCAATCTGTAGATTCAATGCAATTCTTATCAAAATACCGATGACATATTCCACAGAACTAGTGCAAATATTTCAAAAAGGTAATATGGAACCACAAAGGCCCTGAATGGCAACAGTGATCTTGAGAAAGAAGAATAAAGTTGGAGGAATCACACTACCTAATATTAAACTATACTATAAGGTCATGGTAATCAAAACAGCATGGTACTGGCATAAAAACAGACACATAGATCAATGGAACAGAATAGAGAGCCCAGAAGTAAACCCACACCTTTACAGTCAATTAACATTCAACAGAGGAAGCAAGCACATACAGTGGGCTAAAGACAGTTTATTCAATAAATGGTGTTGGGAAAATTGGACAGATACATGCAGAAAAATGAAACTGGACCACCTTTTTATGTCACACACAACAATAAATTCAAAATGGATTAATGACTTAAATGTTGGACCTCAAACCATAAAAATCCTTAAAGGAAGCATAGGCAGCAAAATCATGGACAATGCTCGTAGCAGTGTTTTATTTGATATATCTCCCAAGGCAAGGGGAATAAAGGAAAAAGTAAACAAATGGGGCTACACCAAACTAAAGTTTTTTTGGACAGCAGAGGCAACTATCAACAAAATAAAAAGACGACCCACTGAATGGGAGAGCAAGCTTGCCGATAGCCAATACACTTGGTAAGGGTTAATATCCAAAATTTATAAAGAACTTATAAAACTCAACAGCAAAAAAAATCCAATTAAAAAATGGGCAAAGAACCTGAATAGACACTTCTCCAAAGAGGACATACACATAACCAGTAGACATATGCAAACATGCTCAATATCACTAACTATCAGAAAAATGCAAATTAAAACCACAATGAGATACCACCTCACACCTGTCAGAATGGCTATCATCAATAAATCAACAAACAGCAAGTGCTGGTGAGGATGTGGAAAAAGGAGGGAACCCTTTTGCACTGTTGGTGGGAATGCAGACTGGTGCAGCCACTATGTAAAACAATATGAAGATACCTCAAAAAACTAAATAGGGAACTGCCTTATGACCTAGCGAATCTACTTCTAGGAATTTATCTGAAGAAACCCGAAACAGTAATTCAAAAGAATGTAAACAACCCTATGTTCATTGCAATGTTATTTACAACAGCCAAGATTTGAAAGCAGCCCAAGTTCCCAACAGTAGATGAGTATATGAAACAACTATGTTACATTTATACAATGGAATACTACTCAGCTGTAAAAAAAAAAAAAGGAAGACAGTTTTACCCTTTGTGACAGCCTAGATGGACCTGGAGAACATACAATGCAAAGCGAAATGAGGCACTCAGAGAAAAACAAATACCATATAATTTCACTCATATGTGGAATCTAATGAACAAACTGAACTAACAAGCAAAATAGAGACAGACTCATCGATGGAGAGCAGGCTCACCACTCTGGGGGTGGGATTAGGATGTGGAGGGATCAAGCAGAATGAAAAAGGACTCATGGATATGGACAACAGTGAGGTGATTGGGTGGAGGGAGATGGTGGGTGGAGGTGGAAGAGGGCATAAGGGGGATAAATGGTGATGGAAAAAATACAATAAAGAAGAAAACAGGCTCCTGGTGACCGAGAAACCCCTCGGCAGTGCACTCAGGGTGAAGTAGCTGAGATCTTTAGCTCTTTGCAAACATCCCTCCCTTTACCTTCAAATGAGGGATAGGGTGGGACAAAGAAAAAAACAGCAACAAGGTATTATTCTCTTCTTGTATACGCTTTAAAAGAAAAATCAACAGCTAGGAAGCTGCTGGAAAATATGGTGAAATTTTAGGAAAACTTATTTGAAGGCCTACTATTGATAAGAGAAAGTAGCGTCTGTGGCCCCGGGCCCCTGGCTCCTGTTCCCGAAGAAATGGTGTTGAGGGTCAAACAGCGAAAGTGAAATATTGAGAAAAGTGTATCACGCAGGTTTCCACCAAACTGGGGCACAGAAATATTCAGTTCAAATCAGGTTTGACTTTAAAGAATGAAAATTTTTTCCCCTAGTTTATTGAATATATTAAAAGAATTCTACTTTATTGAATTTGCTATAATTAGTAATGTTCTCTCTAATCAGTTAAAAGAATTCAGAATGTCAGTGCTTTACAGTTACTTTCCGTAAGTTAGAAGGTAGGAGGGAAGGCACCTGCTGGCCTGCACGCGCAGAGACCCCCAGCAGAGGGAGGTCCTGGGAGCAGGACTGCCCGTGTTCAGCCCGTCTCTGACACCTGACAGTCCCAGGATGCTGCCTGTTGCTGATTTATAAGAATGCTTTAATCAAAGAGTGCAAGAGCTACAACTTTACCTTTTTATCTTTTTTCAACTTTTTACCTTGAAAATTTTCAAGTCAAGACAAAAATAACAGAATAAATAAAGTACACTGATATGCATCTAGAATCACTAAGAATTAGTATGTTTACTACATTTGTGTTCTCCCTTCCTCTTCCTCTCTCTCTTTCTCCCCTCTCCCCCAAATAAAAGCACAAGGACCCACTCTTAAATAGCTTCAGTAAATGGTCAGTTCAGGAAAACTGAACGTTGACAGAATGCTCTCAACTAGCACTAGTCCTCATTCAGTTTTCGCCAGTTGTCCCGGTACCTCCCTTCACAGGGTTTCCCCCTCGATCTCGGATCTAATCCAGGCTCACGTGTGGAATTTAACTGTGATCCCTTTGGAGTCCTTTAAGCTGGAGCAGTGCCTCAGTTTTCCTTTGTCTTTTATGACATTCACGTTTTTGAAGAGTATGGACCAATGTTTTCTCACAGTGCAAATGGGAAAAGTGCCAAGCAGTGATTCTTCACAGAGCATTGCATCAGTAGATACGTGATGTTGGCTCTGTTCCATGATTGGTGATGGTAACCCTGATCGCTTGGTTAAGGTGGTGTCGCCACAGTCTCCCTTTGTAATCAATAAATAAGTTCTGGTGTGTGTGTGCAGGGGGTACTCTGACACTATGGATTGTTTCTTGATAAATTAAAGTATCCATTCATGACCCTTGCCTGATCAGTTATATTGCTTTGGTCCAAAGTGCTAACTTTCTATCTCTTTCATTCCTTTGCATTTATTAGTTGAAATTCCACTATAAAGACTAGTTTTCTCTTCCACACCCTTTATGTATTTACTTATTTCTGTATTTGTTAGCATCAGTGGGGACTTGCAGGTTGTTTTGATTCAGTTGGTTATCACTTATTACTCTCATTTTCATTCTGATGCTCATACTGTCCCCACTTGGCCCAGGGGGGCCCCTCCAGCCTCACTCCTGTGTTTGTTTGACATGGTTCTGTGAGTTTCTGAGCATCATTTATTCTTTAGCCCTTAGCGTATCGATACTGAAGTTTTTCATTCAAGTCACTGCCCAAATGACAGATTTTATTCCTGCAACAAATCTTTTTCTGAGCTGTTGCTATGCCTCACTTATTGATCTTACTCATGGTCCAGTGGAAAACTAGACAACTGAATCAGTGCTGACAACATGGTAAGTGATGGGAGAGGGTGCCGTGGAGTACCGGGTCTTTCACTGGGTCAGTGAAAGAAGGCTCCTGGGAAGAACTGTATCCACACTAGAACCTGAAAGATGGATAAAAATAAAAGTGGGGAGAAAGCACAGTGTCTCAGGCCAAGGGAAGAATGTATGTCTTTGAGGAATTCCTATCCCCTGGAAAACATGTCAGAAAAACAACAATGGGGCCTCTTCCCAAAGCAATTCAGGATCTCTGGGGGAAGTCTAAGGCCCAAACATTTCCTTTTCCATACATAGCTCTAGCAGGGGTGTCCAACCTTTGGCATCTTCGCACCACACTGGAAGAAATAGAATTGTCTTGGGCCACACATTAAATACATTGTGACATGAAATCACAAAACAAATCTCATAATGTTTTAAGTAAATTTATGATTTTGTATTGGGCTGCATTCACAGCCATCCTGGGTGCACGTGGCCTGCGGGCTGCAGGTTGGACACCCCTGCTAGAGAATTTATCACGAGGAATGGCGTCCTGTATTGTGGCACTAAACCCTTCAAAACTGAAACTTTAAAAGATCCATTTTATCTTATAGGATTTCGAACTCAACAATGAACTCAAGATGAACGTCCTAAATTTGCTAGAAGAAGTTTTGCGAGATCCAGACCTTCTTCCACAGGAAAGGAAAGCCACAGCCAACATCCTGAGGTAAAGGCAGTCACAGCTGCCTGTTCATGACCTTGGTTGGTTTGTGCTATGTTTGCAGAATGTAAGATCCTATCAAACCAGAAGGACGTAGCTCAGACCACGGGGGCAGCGAGGATTCTGCTCCCACGGGTAGAGTGTTACCTAGCATCTCCTGTTTGCTGCTGTCTCAGGAAGACTGCGGACTGCGCGATGTGACTCGTGTGGGCAGACAGTGGTTGACTGTAGAAGCAAAGCGGAAAGGGAGAAAGCCTTGAGGAGCCTCTCCCATGAGCCCTGCAGGCGTTGGCAGAGGGATTTCCTTTCCTCACCCGGGTTCTAGTGGTTAATCCGAAGCCTGTGTTTGTGAGCAGGCGGTGGCATTTCTGTGGGAGTCTCGTTCACCTGGCTGTGGAGGTAGCACCCCAGAGTAGTTTCGCATTGTCTTTGGTTTGTTTCCCTGGGCTCAGGCTGGGATTTCCACATCACGTGTGTGGCATAATTTTGAACTCTACCCTTTGTGGTAAAGGATGGAATTTGGGTTTCCCGCGAGAGATTTGTTTGGTCTGCCCACCTAGCATCCAAGCAGGTAACAAGCTTTCTTACAACTTCTTGAGCTAGTGGGAGGCTTTTTTTCCGAGTCCACTCTGTACACAGAGGGCGTCATCCATGGCTGTGTGCAGACAGTTCAGCTGGCCCCCTGGCTTGCAACACTGTGCTCTGTCTCTGCCTGGAGGGAGGAAGCCCAGCACCCGTCTTCTCCAGCCTGGTTTTCCCTCACTGTTGTGACATCTAGTTTCCTCTTCACTTGCAACCTTTGGAAAGCATCCTTATTTTTTCCTTCAGAGCTCTGCTGTATTGTGTCTGTTATCCAGAATGCTCGTGGCGGGGGAGGGCCCATTTTAGATCTTCTTTGATCTAGGAGTTGTCACGGGTTGAATTGTGTCCCCCCTCCCCCAACATACATTGAAGTCTTAGTCCCCATAACTCAAAGCGTGGCCTTGTTTAGAAATAAGGCCATTGCAGATGTAATTTGTTAAGATGAGGTCACACTGGGGTAAGGTGGGCCCTAATCCTGTGTGACGGGTGTCCCTAAGAGAGGATGGCCTTGTGAAGATGGAGAGGCAGGGAGAAGGCCACAGGAAGAAGGAGCAGAGATTGGAGTTAAGGAGTGCCAATGGGCTCACATCAGCCTGGAGGAAAGGAAGATCGTGCTTGGGGAAACCCTAGGAGGGAAATGGTCTGGCAGGTCAGAGAGTGAAGACACAGGAGATTAAACCATTCGCTCTGGTGAGGAGGAGCAGAGCCTGAGGCAGGCCACACTGGGGGCACAGGCCACACTGAGGGCACAGGCCCGCTGCACGCAGTAGCCCGCCGCTGCCCAGAGAGTGTGGACCTGTCCCAGGCCCGTTGCTCTTGGCTGTGTTTTGCAGCCTACCTGATTTCCACAATTAAAGGGAAAATTTCCTGGTTGTGCAACTTGGATAATCCCATCTCCTTTTAAGTTTTTTAAATCTGGTGTTTCCTTATAAATGCACAAATACTAAACGGGTCATACTGACCAATAAATGTGAGGGAAACCCAGGATCCTGGTGTGTTCATCAAAGCTTTAAGCTGGTCGGAAGACTGGGAGCAAATTCATGCTCTCCTGGAAGTGGGCCAGAGGCGGGGGGCCTTCACAGCTGATGGGAAACAGTTGTGACTGCACCTCCCAGCGAGTATGACTTACAGCCGAGAGAAACAAGAACACGTCCTGTAGTGAAATGTGGCCCTGACATTGGAGATTTACATGCGTTCAAGTCACATAACTGTGATATGTAAGCACGAAGCACACATTTAAACATAAATTACATGAATCGAGTAAAGTGAAAGCTTTATGCGATGACCCACCCTGCCTTGCACAGTCTCACAGGGGTTACTTTAAGCCTACTTAGCATAAACAGTTTGGTGCCCCGTTTGTGAACAAAACCCTCTGCTCAAGAATGCTGTTTCTAAGATACCACCGCCCTCCAACATTGTCTGACTAGCTGGCTTCTGAGTCTCTGCAGTGTTGAGTTTTTTGTAGACAACTAACATGCCACAAAATGAAAAGAAATAATGACTGAATTCTTCGAATGCCAAGTGGAATGGGTTCAAGTCATGAAAAAGTATCCCTCCCAAACCTCTCAGAGCCCCAAACAGCATCAGTAGCTCTTATGAAGAGAGAAAATATTAAATAACTTAATGGGACCAGAGTGTACTGTGGAACCTTAGGGTAAGATCATTAAGGAGAGGAACATTTGATAGAAACTAATTTCTTGACCACTTCTTTCCAAAAGAAGAAATAGTCCATCTTCATTTAAAAAAAAATCTTTTCCATGGGTACATGTAGTTATGTGGCCACTGATCTCTCGCCAGGAACCTAGCCTGCAGTGGAAAGAATGATGGAAACTCTAGAAAACAATCGCTTTTATTCCCTACATGTAACCCTTAAGTGTGATTTAATAGTCTTGGGAGATGGAGTTGTGTTTACTTGTTGTTTTCCTCCCCTGACTCTGTCCTTTACCATATGAGGACTATTTCTTTTTGCTCACAAATGACATGGGTAATTGCTGACCAGAGGACTGCCCCTCCTATAACCTGGAGGGATTCTGCTCCCCATAAACAGCCGAGAGAGTCTTTGTAACAGAGGAGGAAGGCTGTGGAGAGGGAATCGAAGTGTGTGCTCTGCTGGACCCTTGAAGAGGTGCCTCCCATAAGCCTGCTTCAGACAAAGGAGGGTGAAAGAAGAGCACAATTGCACCACACCCTGGCCAAGTTAGTTTCTTTGAGATTTTGTGTCCTCATTGTCAGAACAGAAGAAATAATACTTACCATGGCCCTGGCTGGGTGGCTCTGTTGGAGCATTGCCACGTACGCCAAAAGGTTGCAGGTCGGATTCCTGGTCACAGCACATACCTAGGTTGCAGGTTGGAGCCCCAGTTAGCCCGCGGGGCGCATACAGAAGGCAACCAATGGATGTTTCCTTCTCACATTGATGTTTCTCTCTCCCCCTTCCTCTCTCTCTAAAATCAATAAACGTATTCTCAGTGAGTATTAAAAAGTAATAATGTTTACTTTGAAGGGATTTTGTGTGTGCGCGCGATACATGAGGTAGTGTATGTTAAATGCTTAGTGCACACCTGCCACATCGTGGGTGTGGAACAACCCCTCTGTGGATTCTTCAGTTTGGATGATAGTAGTTTTGTTCAAATCAATTCAAAACACAACAAAACTTCACAGCATTATTTCTTTTGAAACCCGCTTCCCCCAGCAGACAGGCTGCATGCTTTGGGACTGTTTAAACATGTTAACACTTTTCATACATTATTGTGCCTTCATCTGGGAAAACTTACAGTGCTGGCTCAGATGGCCCGTTATGTAATCATTGTAATTCTGGCTGAACTAGTGTGGGACGTGCTGCATCACTCCCACTGTGGATCCCGCGCCCACTTCAGTCATAAGCAACTTCTGCATGTATTCATTCACTTACCACCTATCAAAAAAGAATTTTATTGAGAGCTGAATGATGCCATGTGTGGGGACACACCACCAACCCTCAGGGAAGCCCATCTGGGAAGCGAGTGGGGAGAGTTTACCTGCTGCTTTCCTCCACCTCACACCCTTCAAGTTCTTGCAGCAGAGAAGCTCCCTCAGCTTCTGGTCTGCATGCTAGTGGGGAGGGGGAAGAGCCAGGATTCCTGCCTAGGCGGGGCAGGTTAGGGTCAGGGGCAGGGAACAGAGGAGCAGGGATGGGGCCGCGTGGACCTCCTGACTGATAGGGTACCACAGGAGGCCAGTGTACACACAGCCCACCACCCTCCAGGTCACTCTGAGGTGGGTGTTTTCCTCACAGCCTTGTCTGCAACAAGTCAGCTCCCGTGGTGATCCTGCACCTTTAACGCGTGTGGTTTCCGTCCCCAGGACCACCCGTGTGCCCCTCACGGCTCCACAACCTCCCGCAGGCAGCCACCCTGCAGACCCAAGGAGCGCCCATTCCTGCTATGTCTACTTTCTTCTCATGGGAGATATTTTGATTTTTTTTTAGAGCTCTTTCACAAGATGATCAAGATGACATTCACCTCAAATTAGAAGATATAATCCAACTGGTAAGTTCACCCATGGTCTCATCCAGCACAGTTGCGTGCAGACTTCCGCTCCAAGGCCAGCAGCGTGCCTGCCCTGGTCACGGGGCGCTGGTCCGTGCGTTCTGTCGCTGAAGCTCTGTCCGAGGAAACGGGTTTGGTGTGTCGTAGGCAGCTGGCCCTTGATATTCACGTTGGCTGGTAGTTCTGAGCTTCCCACCATTTTCTGCATAGTTCGATTCTACGATAAACTTTGTACTTCGGCAGCGGCTCCGAGCAGACCGGAGCCCCGCCCCCGAGTGTGTTTCATCCCCTGCCCCCTCATCTCTCGCAGGCGGACTATCCGAAGGCCGAGTGCTTTGAGACCTTGTCCGCCATGGAGTTGGCTGAGCAGATCACCCTCCTGGACCACATCGTCTTCAGAAGCATCCCCTACGAGTGAGTGCTGCCCTCACAGCGGCAGGCCCTCCAGGCAGGGGTAGCCGCTGAGAGTTGACGTGATTCCTAAGGCAGATGAGTGGGCAGAGGTGTGAGTCTTCATCTTAAAATGGTTTGGTTCCACTGAATGCCTTTTAGTTCCAGTTTATGTTGGAAGTATTGACTGGGCCATAGTGGGGGCTCTCGAGATGGTCACACTTGTGTTTCTGTCTGTACAATGATTACCACGGAATGTACATTTCTCTTTACTCTCACACCCTTGCATGGCAGAAACCTCCATGCAGCTGTGACCGTGGCTCTCAGATTTCAGTGTGCCTAAAATCATTTGGGAAACTTGTTAAAAATGTACATTCCTAGATTTGTTCCTCAGAGATTCAGTTCCAGTAAGTGTGAGGCCCAAGAAACTGCATTTTCAAAGAAAATCCTAGATAATTGTAGGTGGTCCAAGACTTTTAGAAAGACTGGTCTTGGGTAAGTGCTGTAAATTCTGCTACGCACTTGCGTAAATCAACAAGTGTTGCTGAGCTCTGAGACCATGGGCACATCACACAGCCTTTCGGGGTCCTCGTGTGCAGAGTCAGGGAGGCTCTGACAGCCCCTCCCAGCTGGCATATTTGGTGGCGCGCACAAGCAAGACCTTTGTTTGGGCAAATGCAACTGTTGGCACACATCCTCTGTGAATGCAAAATTAAATTGAAAATAAAGGAGGGCTGGGTAAGAGATAAGAGCATGTCAAATTGAGGACAGGCTGACAATGACCAGAGGGGAGGATAATGGGGGAAAAGGGTGGAGGGTTCACAGGAACAATTATAAAGGACACATGGACAATAACAAGGGGGGGTGTGGAAACAGGGGAGGGAGGTGGGGAGGGCTGGGTGGTGGGAGGGGTGGGGGAAAAGGCAGACAACAGTACTTGGACAACAATAAAAAATGTTAATTAAAAAAGAAAAGAGACAAGAGCATGTCGTGTACAGAGAAGACACCCGTGAGGATGGAGGGCCAGGAGTGGCAGGGTGGGTGGTCAGAGGGTGGGTAAGGGTCAGGGCCACAGCTCTGTCACAGACACACAAGGAGCATGGACATAAAATGTCCCTGCAGCCTTTTACATATTTTATCTTCTTTCTCTCCCCCTCTTCCAGCACTCATAGACCAATCCATAAATGTGAAAAAAAAAAATAGAATAGGAACATGGCCCACTGGCCAAGCAACCTAGTGACTATTTGAGCACTTGTGTGAGGAACCACAGCACCTTTCCCTGCCACCTCCTGACACCCCTCCAGTGCAGTGAGGATTCGGGAGGGACATGAGTGTGACCTCCGTGGGGGAGGAGAAAGAGCAAAGCCCAAACCTTCGTGCTGGCCTGTGATGTGGTCTCTTCCTGGGACCCTCCCCCCCATCCCCTTTGTGCTGGCGTGAACATCTACCAGTTATTTTCATCACCCACAGGACTGGCACACCTGTTGTCCATCAGCCTTGCAGGACGGGGTGGTACCACCAACAGCGAGGGATGAAGGGCCTTGCACAGAGACTCAGTCAGCATTTCTGGGTTAAGAATGTGTCAGTGATTTTATTTTAAGTTATGTTTTGCAATGGCTACATAAGATAATTCCGGTGTGCTCCATTCGTCCGTCGCTAGCTGTGACCTGGTGGCCTGCTCCTGGGTGAAGGGAGAGAGTGGAGTGTTATTTGGAGGACAGGCCTTCCACCAGGGTGACCTTCCTCCGCCATAACTGCCTTCATCGCATGAATGGGCCGCACAGGGGTAACTGCGAGGTTGTTTATCCAGCCCCTTACCACAGTGTCCTGTCTTGGGTTCCCGGGAGAACAAGGAGAGTCCTGCCCGTGGAGTGGACATTTGCCGGAGACCATCAGAGCAAAGTGGAGGGAAACATGCTGTTCTTGATTAACATTTTTGGTAGTGATTCATTTTTTGGATCTTCTGCTAAAGCTTACACTTTTTTAACAAGCTGATCCAGGGAAAAAATCTAGGTTTCTGAGTTAGTACTTAGCCTCTTTACTCCCCTTGCATGGGTCATTGTTTTCCAGCTTCAGAGAAGCCTTTATAACGAGCCTAACAGGGACAAAGTTCCTAACATTTATAAGAGGAAGCTGGAAACTGAAAAAATCTTTTTCTTTTTGCACGGAGTGGTGAAATGCTCGGGTCGAGCTAAAAGTCACGTGAGACGGTCAGTAGCAGCTGCCGTTGGGCAATGTCAGGTTTAATGTGTATAATGTCAACAATGATTCACACCAATAATTGACCATTTAAAAAATTTAATTGGTTTTATGTTTTGCTTTGAACTTGCAGAGAGTTTCTTGGGCAGGGTTGGATGAAGCCGGATAAAAATGAAAGAACACCTTACATTATGAAAACCAGCCAGCACTTCAATGACGTGAGTAACCATGAAAGTAAAACATCGGGCACGTTATATAGGAAGATGAATATCAGGGTCTTAAGATTTTTTTTAAATAAAGCTAACCACATTTAAAACAGAACTGAAGTAATGTTAAAGATAAGCTTAAATCTCCTCTAAGAGTTCACAGCGATGTCAAAATTTTCAGTTAACTTCCAGATGTGAGAGGTTCGCTTTTGATGGTACCCAAGTCTGGTGAGTGCTCAATAATGCACAGGGTGGTGTTATTGTTTTCATCACAATCATTATTACTTCACGGTCGTAGATTGACTGGTTCTAACAGAATAAATAGCACATGTGTCACTGGTTGCTGGTGGTGCTGGGGACAGTAAGGTTAGGTGGATGCCACCCTTCCTCATCATGACTGAGCACATTCCGGGGTTGGAAGGGGCCTCTCTGAGCATGATTACAGTACTGCTGCGGCTGTGTGCGTGGTGACAGCTGTTGGTCCATCTCCCCGCCCTCCTCTTCCCCAGCAGTAGATGCAGTGGCTGTATCCCCACCAGCTCCTCATTTGTTTTGTTCTAATGGCCTTGGCCCTGAATTAGAACCACAGGTGTCGGAGTGTCTTCAGGCCTTTCCAGGCAAAAGGGAAGGCTCTCTTTGCAGTTACACACAACTACAATAAAAATAATAATGATAGTATATTTTTTAAAATAAGACTACCAGGAACACCAGTCATTTAGAATCAAAATACAAAACAATGGTGTAGATTCCCAAAACGGCGCTTTTGCTCAGGGCACTTGCAGGACACTTACGCACTGAGTGAACATTAGCACACAATGAGGGTCACAGCCACTGCTGCCCAAAGGACAGGACACACAGCCCACCTCGGCCGCTCTCTGGAAAGCGGGGCCCCCGCTGTGGAAAGTGACCCTCTATTGCCTGCCACACACACACACACACACACACCTGGGGTACAACGGACACTCAAATCAGGGTCAGCCCCAAGCTCCACACCCACATCTCCACTTCGATGGCCACCGCATTGTGTGCCCTCAACAATTTGCAAATGAACTCGTCATTGGCACCCCAGACCTGCCAAGCCTGCTTCTTCATCTTCCTCTCTGTCCTCAGTCACAGATAGTGGCCTCACCACGCACTCACTCACCCAGACCCAGAATCTAGACGTCGTCTTTGACATCTCCCTTACCCACCCTCATTGCCCCGGTGTATTAGTGAACCCTAAGGCTATATATGTCTCAGACCCTTTTCCCCTCCTTTGCCACTGCTTTGGCCTTGACATGGCCTCTCGTACTTCCTCTCCAGGAGCTCCTAACTCACTACCCCCTGCCCCCTCGTGCCTTCCAACCCACTCCTCATGCAGGATTTTGGGAATAGCTTCTCTGAAAGGCTAGCCTAATGATACCACTTTCTTTGACAAAAATCTGTAAGTGGCTTGCCCTCACCTTCCGGATGTGGTTCATCTGCTCCACCTGACCTACAAGAGCCCTGCTCACCTGTCGTCCTTGTCTCTCATGACCCCCTGGGCTCCTCAGGTGGCTGCTAGATCCTCCTTACACCATGCCTCTCACCTCTATCCCTGTGAAGAGGCCCTTCTGCTGTGATGGAAAGCAGCGACTGACTCAGTGCAGTCCACAACCTCATTGCCAAAGCCTCCTCTGTGCTAGACCAGATGCCCCATATGTCCTTATGCTCTCCACAACGCCACCCACCCCGCCCCCGTGCAGACTTGGCTTTGCATTTTGCTATGTGGCATTTACTGTTTATATCTGCCTAACCCCCCTTCCCATCTAGCTAGACCCAGTGCCTTAAGGTCAGGGATGCTGATTTGTGCCTTTCTGTTTCTGGCACCTAAAAGAATACCTGCTTCATAGTAGGTGCTGAATATAAAATAATTTTTAAATAAATATGCATATTGATCATTGTGAAGCACTGTGAGATCTTAAGTACTTAAAGAATCACCAAAGAATGCTTGCACTCATCAAATTTAGTATACAGGTATAGTATTAGACCCTGTTCCCTTTTAGGCCATCAATCCGACTCTGCCCTTTTCCTTTCTGTATTCTAAGTGCTGAGCTTTTTAAGCCACTGCCTTTTCTCTTGGCTTTTATTAACAGAATTATAGTTCTTAGCCTTGAAACTATAAGTCTTTTTAACTACTGCTGGGAAAAAAATTCAACAAAATAGGAGAAAATATTCTCTCTTCCCATTCACTGAAGCATTTCCGGTTTGAGGGTTGATCAGGTTAGAAACAGTTTGATTGGAGGTCCAGTGTTTTGTTTGTCTGTGATAAACTGGGGCTTTTGAGAGTGGATAGTGCACACAACGGGGGCGGGGAGTGGAGGGGGACGAGGAGCATGTGGAGAGGCCCCAAGAACTGAAACCTGTGATCTGCAAATGTTGCTGATCCTCAGGGGTCAGCTCATTCTGCTCTGTTTCCTCAATAATTGTTGCAAACAACTCCTTCATCGAAATTACCAATGAACAAAGTCACCTCTTCCTCAGCAAGCTGATTCTAAGCAATGCCTCTCTTGCCTCTGTTTGCTATTATTATCACAGACTTTAGTCACTTCAGAAAGTTTTTATCTAGATATGGACTATGATCTGTATGTCCCTCGGCACCCTACTTTCCTGACGCTTCTGCAGGTAACTCAGGTATTTGGCCCAAATGCGTTGCCTCGGCTCTTAGCCGCTTCTCTTGGCCTTCCCATTGTCTCAGATGAGTAACCTGGTGGCCTCCCAGATAATGAATTATGCCGATGTCAGCTCTCGTGCCAACGCGATTGAGAAGTGGGTGGCGGTGGCGGACATTTGCCGATGCCTGCACAACTACAACGGCGTGCTGGAGATCACCTCCGCCTTAAACAGAAGTGCCATCTACAGGCTGAAGAAAACCTGGGCCAAGGTGTCCAAGCAGGTGAGCAGCGGCATGCCACACATCCTGCTGCTGAGGCGAGGAGAGGCTGGGAGACCTGAGCCAAGATAAATAGTACTAATTAGAAAATAATTAGCTGAAGTGAGCAGCTCAGTTGCCAAAGAAAGGTGCCAATGTGGGTAATTACTGTGTTCTTATCACTTAATTGATTCCACTCATGTGCATTTCTAAATGGTTCATTTAGAAAAGAAAATACGACCCAAAACATTCATTATAACATATTTGGGGACAGTCTCAGACAATGTGGTTAACAGTCAGGAGCTGTTGCCTGAAGTATTTAGAGAGGGCACATTGATTTCAAGTGATGCTGAAGGAATCCAGTCTTTCCCCCCAAAGTGAGGGTGCAGATGTCTTAGGACCGAACACCAGGACAAAGGGACAAAGGGTCTCAACATTCACCTCTTTCTTTGCTACCCACATAGTAAATTTAAAATTTTGGCATAACGACTTAGATGTGCAGAAATAGAGCTTTCTTAATTTTCTTTTAATTGGACTCAGCTTGCCCCTGCCTATCATTTTCATTCAGATAATGTCAATCACAGTCCCCGCCCAGGCTTTTCCTCCTGGCCTTCTCTGTGGATGGTGGCGGGTGCTGGGGAAAGCCCCCAGGCTCCTGGGACAGGGCAGCCTGAGGGGCCTCAGCCTGGGCATTCTGCTTTCCCGGCCAAGCTGCAGGGACTGGGACTCCGGGACTGCCAAGGGAAGACCCTCTCCCTCCCATCCTTCCGTGTGCCGTGGAAGTCCAGATCAGTGTTGACAACAATTGCATTTTTTGGTCAGAATCAGCTATATTTTTATAACAAGTTGATAAAGACGATCACAAGAGGAAGGATTTGGACTGGAGGACATAGGCAGATCCATAGCCAAGCAGCCAGACATGAGCTTTGATGACTTGGACATTAACACTCAGAGAGCTTCATCGTGAACGCCCCCGTCCCCGACATGAGACTCCCCCTGTAAAAGTCCCTGTTCAACACATGCTTCTCAGCCCTTTCAGTCCCCGAGTTTCTCGCACATTGCCGTTTTCCTCTTCTACACATTTTCCCTCTTTTTGGCTGAGTAGTGTAGTCGTATTCTCTTCTCTACATGTCCTTTTTTTCACATCAAATAATATCTCATCTTGATATCTTGAGAACAGTATCACATCACAACAACTGGCCATTGTGGAAGACAATCGAACATCTTTTGGGAACTTACTATCTTATCACACTATAGGAGAGTTTTCATGGCATACTAAGTCTTTTTTTTCTTTCTAGACAAAAGCTCTAATGGACAAACTTCAGAAGACTGTTTCATCTGAAGGAAGATTTAAAAATCTCAGAGAAACCCTTAAAAAGTATGCCTGTCTTTGTTAAATTATCTGTAGTTCATGAATATATTTCAGTAATTGATGTGGTTTACAGTTAGTGGCCTACTTCCTACTTTGCTTTGTAATGAAAAACAAACAGGAAACAACTTCCATCATCTTCACATTTTTCCGATTTTCTTTGTCATTTTGAATACTATGCACACAGTAGGTGTCATATGGATATGCTCACAGTATGCAGGCCATTCCAAGTAAGGAGAAAATATCACCATAGTAAGTCCAACTAGGATTTACTATTAAAAGTTTGATTTGGTATTTCTTTTTTTATTTTTTCCTCTTTTTTTATTGTAGTTCAATAACAGTCGTCCCCATTTTTCAGCTTAAGCATAATGATACCCTGTGATTTTTTAATTTAAATATTCCAATACTTATTATCATTATCTACTTTTAGCCTTTTATTGCTGGATCATTCTCTGTTGAGAGAGAGAGAAAATAGAATAGAATAGAATAGAACAGAAAATCAAATCTGTCCTGCAACTGGTTTTCTTACAGTCTGCACACAGGCCCTGTGGTGCCACCAGACAAAGACTCCTGGCAGTAACCACAACAACACAACAACTAGTCACTGGGTACTCACTAAGTTACAGACTCCATGCCAAGTGCTTGGTGTGTCTTATTGAAGCCTCACAACTAACCAGAGACATAAGTTTTAGTGCTTCCCTTTTATGGCAAGCTGCAGTCAGAGGGTTAGTTTAGCCTAACACCATGTAGTCAGTGGTCACACTGGGGCGTGAACCCACTTCTCTCTGGGTCAAAGGCCCATGTTGTGTCCCACCTCAAAAGCAAATGAACAACACACAAAAAATAAGGTCTCACATTAGTGTGCAGTTGTGATATTAATGACAGCTATACTTTCAACTTTTAAATACTAACTAAAACAGAACACAAGCTTTATCAGCTCTAATCACATTGATTTTTCTGCCCAGTTCTTTCAGGTTGACCGTTTGCACTTTAATGAGGTGAGGGCATAGGGATTTCCTACAGGCCAATTTACAGGTTCTGCAAACCAATATGAACAGGCACTGCTAGCAAATGTTACATATCTGTCTATGAGTTATCTTATTATTTGAACCTGCCATTGTCTCAAACACATTGTAAAGCATGGGCTTTAATTTGGTATTACATTCTATTGTGAAAAGATGTATTTACAACTCTGCTTCATGAGTGTGCTTCTGAAAATGGAATTAGAAGACTTTATTCTTCTTGTTTAACTGAGGTGGGAAATCAGCGTCATGGGAATGGGCATAAGAACAGTATCTCTTGGTCTTGCAGTTGTAACCCTCCCGCTGTTCCTTATCTGGGGATGTACCTGACAGACCTGGCGTTTATTGAAGAAGGAACACCAAACTTTACTGAGGAAGGCCTTGTCAATTTCTCCAAAATGAGAATGGTAGGTGCTAATTTCCTGATCAGCTTGTTTTAGTGACTTTACTGGCTTGCAGAGAAGGGGCTAAGCCATGAAAGTCACTGCTCGCTCTTTAACTTTGAAGTGGACGAGATGGTGCAACTGGGTCTAGTACCTGATATTGGCTGACTGAGATTTGAGCTGAGCCATTTCAGCTTGCAGTCTGAGCAAAGACAGTGGGGAAGAAAGCTCCTGGGATGAACGTTTAAGGCTGGCCAGTGACAGATACTGAAGGCTTCTTGCTGGACAACCAGGTTCCGAGCACTGAGTGAGAAGCAAGAAGCCTGTGGACTCTAGCACCCAGAGCTTTCCACCCCTGAGCCTGAGGCCACGCAGTGCCCGCTGCCCCCTGACTGTGAATTCAGTATCTTCTTGCTGTTAGCATTTTGTACAGCTCATTGAAAGGCAAGAAAGCCCTGAGCATAAGGAATGATCGGGCAGAACTCCAGGTACCACACTGGAGGAAGTGACCGACCACTCAGGGATGGGCTCCCAGAAGAACATGCTGCAACACAGGGAAATGCTTTTGCTTTGCTTTTGTTGTTTTTCTGTCAGATATCACACATCGTCAGAGAGATACGCCAGTTCCAGCAGACTTCCTATCGAATAGAGCATCAGCCAAAGGTAACATTGTGGTTGTGAGGGAATGTAATAAAGAAAAAACAGATTAATGAATTAGAAACAGCAGTAGAGTTGATCAATAATACCAAAAGCTGACTCACAGGAAAGACTGATAAAATAGACAAATCTTGGGAAAATCTGATTAAGAAAAAAGAAACAAGGCAAAAACCCATCAATTTATCATCAAGTTTTATTGATTTTACTTCCTATATTTATCTTGAATCTGTCTACATCACCACCATCCCTGGTCTAAGCTACTAATATCTGTTACCTGGTCTTCTTGCATTCACCCTAGAATGCAAAATCCATTCTACAAATTACAGCCAGATAGAACTCAGACATAAGGTAGAACATGTCTGCAACTTGCATAAAGTATTTTATTGTTTCCCATTGCTCTTACAATAAAGAAAAAATATCTTGCTATGTCAAAGAAGTCTTGCATTATGTGACACCTACTCATCTTTTAAGATTCATCTCACGCCTGGCTGGCATAGCTCAGTGGATTGAGAGCGGGCTGTGAACCAAAGTGTCGCAGGTTCAATTCCCAGTCAGGGTACATGCCTGGGTTGCAGGCCACGGCCCCCAGCAACCGCACATTGATGTTTCTCTCTCTCTTTCTCCCTCCCTTCCCTCTCTAAAAAATAAATAAATAAAATCTTTAAAAAAAAAGATTCATCTCACATCGTATACCCCCTTTTCCCTTCCTCTCTCCATCCCAGCCACAACTGGTCTCCCTTTCTTCCCTCTTCCCTTCCTTCCTTCTTCTCATTTTTTAATAGATGTTATTTTTTTTAGAATTGTTTTAACTTTACAAAAAATTGGGAAGGTAGTACAAAAGATTCCCATATAACTTATAGCCAGTTTTCCCAGCTCTTCATGGAACTTGACAAACTTATCCTAAACTAATAAGGAAGGAAGCTTAGAGGGGCAAAACTATGATGAATAAAACAGGATTATGTAGGTGTAAGAATACAAATTAAATAGAACAGAATAAAGTTCAGATGCATATTTCATCCATATGAAAATCTAATATGGAATAAGGGAAGCATTTTTAAAAAGTGCCAGAAAGAAACTGACTATTTGGTAAGGGGAAAAAGAATTTTGACTTTCCATCTTACACCATTTACAAAAGTAAATTCCAGGTGAGTTCATTACCTAAGTGTAGAAAGAAACATTCAGTGATTTGGAAACAACCCATACGCCCATAAACAGATGAATGGATAAACAAATGTAGGAGATCTGTGAATGGCATACCACTCAGCAATGACAGAGGACAGATTGCTGATGCCACAAATAGATGAATCTTAACACATTATGCTGCGTGACAGAAGCCACACACAAAAGAGTGCATACTCTATGACTCTATTTACCTGGAGTTCTAGAGTAGACGGAACCGATACGTGGTGATGGAGACTGGAGCACTGGGTGCTTCTGGGAGCAGGTTGACCGGGAAGTTGTCTGAGGAACTTTCTAGGGTGATGAGGTTGCTCTACATCATGATTTTATATATTTAACATGGGTGTGTACATTTGTGAAAACTAATCAAATTATTCAAATTGTTAATTTCACTTATGTAAGTTATATCTCAACAAAAATAAAGAACTATGTACGTGGAAATGCCCCATGCCCCAACGTTTCCATTTCAGTGTCGTTTCCTTCCATTTTGCTTCTTGTCCCTCCCTGGAGGGACACTCACACGTGAGCGCTGGGAAGCATGCTGACGAGGTTTCACCTCGACTTTGTGCAACATTGAAACACTGACAGCAGCTGAATGCCCATCGACATGAAGTCGTTCCATGAACTCTAATACATCGCACTGTTAGCGCTGTGCAGCAGTTAGAGCTGTATGGACTGGCAAGGGGGCTCGCACAAGTTACAGTTAAGAGATGAGATCAGGATAAATTACACGATATGATACCACTCATGATTAGAAGGGAAAAGATTTCTGTAAGGACATGTAATCTCTAGAAAGACAGGAAGACATTTAGGGGGACACGAACCAAATGGTGACAGTGTGCTTTCTGAAGGAAGGGCCCGGAGAGGACGAGAGATGTTTGATTTTATTTTTATGTACAGAGAATACATTCATAAGTTTCTTAGTTATGTAAAATTTTAAATGTTAAGAGGATATGTTGAATTGTGTCCAATTCCACTCAGAAAATGCACAAACTGATGTTCTGAAAAAACTAAAAGCTAGGATTTCCTTTTTTCCCCCAGGTCACTCAGTACTTGCTTGACAAAGCCCTCATCATAGATGAAGACACGCTATATGAGCTGTCGCTAAAAATTGAACCTCGGCTCTCTGCTTGAAGAGCCGGCCTTGCCCTGAGTCTGGAATTTTCGTGGAGCGGGGGACAGACAGAACTGTGCATGCCATGCCTCCCTCCCTCGTGCGGCGAAGACCGAGAGGATGGAGACGAGGCCAGGCCTCCTTGGTCCCAGAAGAAGAGGAACCTGGCTGGAGTTCTGCTCCCAGCCAGGAAAGCTCAGCTGTTTGGGGTCAAAGACAGAGGCTTCAGACTTGAGTGGGAAGGTGAAAAGAATGATTTGGTACAGTTGATGGCACATTCTGCATAAGGGAATGTACGGTAGGAGATTTGGTGGTCATTGTGATGACACAGGCAAGAGGGTCACTTTCAATCTCTGCCCCATGTTCTGTTCAAACTTGGGGGTGAGGGTTTATGAGAAAGGCCTGTGATGTTTCTCTGGCATTTCACTGGTGTGGGTGCACCTCCCAGTCTTCTCCTAGGGTTTAACTGCTTCCATTCCATTTCCTTTGTTACCAGCTTCCAGAAAAGCCTAGGCTTCCTTTGCAGGGGTGGGCCGCCACACAAGCAATTTCAGTCTGCAGCATGTGCATGGTTCAGTGCATGGAGGAATGACGGCATGTTCTGAAACTGCTTTCCGGTCTTTAGGCAACAGGAGAGGAAAGAATGATGAAAGCCAAGTGGATTTGTATATAACACTTCTTTAATTAGAAACTCAGTAGTCTGTGCCCCAGAGGATTCCAGCCGGTGGCTGCACGAAGTGGGGGGCTTCTTCTTGAGGCTGTGCCGGGAAGCCAAACCCTTGAGGGGCAGGTGCAGAGTTTGCGCCAAGGCGCCCACGCGCCTTGCCGACGAAACTGTGGAATGAGACAGAAGGCCACAAAGTGCTGTGGGGCAGGCGGGTTTCAGTGCTGAGTGAAGAGGTGTCATGCTGAGACGTCTCCGCACCTCGCTCTCTGTTTGCCTTCTCTTTACCCCTCACAACAATGCGGGAATCTCTTCCGATGTTCGGGAATCATTTTAGGCTCATTATGAAGACGGGTTGTATTTTTAGAAAGTTGTTTAGTGGGAATTTCTTTGTAAAACCCACACTTCCACGTACTATTGGCAGACAGTTCTTCCCCAACCGTCTTTGTTTTAAAATTTTTATATTTTTTGAGTAAAAATATTGTATGTGTATGGGAAACAGGTCCAACCACTCACAGCTGTGATGCCAGAAAACCAGCTGCCGGGGTTCGTCCTGCAACCCTGTGAGGGGAAAATGACCTCGCTTTTCCCAGGATTTTCAGTTGTTTGAAGAAATAGGGCTCTCTCGTGTTTACTTCCTTCTTCTTTTCTCAGGGAGACCTTTGCTTTAAAAGAAGGAAGAGAAAAAATATGGTTCTTGTTACCTGAGCCTATTGCACCTGACTTTTTCACTTAGAGGCATGGAGTGTATCGATGTTGACAATGAACAAAATTGATCTGTCTGGCTACTTTCCCTCTTTCTTTGCACTTTAATTATGTTGTTAGAGCTAACAGCTGGCTAACAAATTCATCCTGCTGGCTCCTAAGGCCCAGTGGGAGGGCCAGCATAGAGCTGGAGAATGTATACAATTTTCCTGCATGGTAAGGGCCATCTCTGTACATAACTATACAGTGAAGTAACAAGGAAGTAAAGAAAATATTTATAATATTTGAAGACCATTCCAAAAATACTTTCAATAGCTCATATTAGCCAACAGTGTAGCACTAAAAAACCCAAGGAGGGTTACTTATGGTTGCTTTATTTTTCTTTTTTTCTACTAAAAGTTGCCTGTTTATTCTCTGTAGTTTCAGTTAAGAGGTTGAAGCATCTTGACGCATGACACAAAGCATGGGTTCTTTGGTTCCTAACAATGCACAGCTTGGGATTTATTTCTGTGTTCAGAAACTGAGGGCTTGAATTAGTGTGTCAACTGAACCAAGCACCTCAAGGTCTTGTAGAAGAAAATTAAGGTTAACTTTCTTGACTCAAAATCATAGTCTGAGAAGGTGAATGAAAACCAGGACAATCAGTGAAAGGACCAGACAAAGGATTTTCAGGTGAAACAACGCGTGGAAAGATCCATACCTTCGATTCTGCCTTGGAGTCCCCAAAGTCTTCCAGAGGGGAGAGGGTGGGTGTGCGCTTTCCCTGGAAGTTTGGACCCGTATTTCTCAGACTCGTATGTTTCAGACCCATTGCAGCCATTCTTATGAAAGGAAAAAAAAATGAGATTGAGGAATTTGTAAACGGTCCTCCGCTTTTGGTATGTAGATTTTCAAGTAGTGACAAAGCGGTTATGTTTATTTCTGCAGAATGTTGGAAGCGCCCCCCAGTGGTCAACTATGGGCACTAGCAATCGCTGTGCAGACCGTTAGCGTTTTCCTGAGCTTTTCAAGTCCTTCCTGCTTTCTGGAGTCTCTTGGCTGGAGCTGTGAGAGAACTCCGCCACCGAAGGAGTTCCTTTTGATGACCTGCACCATTTCTGGGCCAGTGGGGATAGGGACGCACATTTAAAAAAGCTCAACTTGGTCACATTTAAAATCCCCGAGAGCAATTTGTGATGTTTCTTCCAATTGTTAAAAGCACCCACCCTCTTCTGCTTTGCAAGCTTTGTGTGTATTGTTGGAGCCTGCACTCCCGGCTGCATTTTGCCTGTATTCCATTTTATGAGACCCATTTCTAAGAGTAGATGGGAGGTCAGTTTCTAACAACCAAGTACCAAACACTTTTATTATTGCAAATTTAATCCATAAAATCAGAAGTAAATCCAAGTTCATGCTTACAGAGGAGGACCTACATTTTGTAATGTCAATGAAATTACCTTGAGCTTTTAGAGGATGCCATTGGTCATTAACTAAGACATCCAGGTTTGCTACTGGGACAAATCTCTTCATTAGGCCAGTATATTATGTGACAGATCCAGGCATGAAGTAGAATGTCGTCACTTTTCCGTAGCGTTTCTCTGAAGGAATTTAAAGAGGGAATTTTAAACTACTGTTGCAATAGTTTCAAGTGGCTCTCACACAAAGTCCCAATTACTGTTTGTGAAATTTCAGTGCATCTTAAAGTACTACCTAAAAACAAATGAAACTCACAGATACTGATTGACTTGAAAGAGAAAAATTGATTACGTTCCAGTGCGGGGAGGGGGGGCTATGTGATGACGGACCACACCTCTTCTCCCGAGATACTGTTTGAGACAAGACCTTGGATCTGCAGAGCCTGGGCCACTTTTCAGTTCTTCACTAAAAAGAGAAATGTAATCAAAGGGGTTAGTCTCAATAAAATTAACTTTTATTTTAAAATAAAGGATTTTAGTTCACTTTTCTTTTCAAAGTTTGATTTTTCTTTCTGAAAAAAATCTTTCCCTTCATTTTAAAGTATAAGAATTTTTTTAAAAGTCCAACTGTAAAGTTTATCATTTTTACAACTATTTAAATGGGATAAAATAACTATTATTCATGGCTAAGTAACAGAACCTGGTTAATGTCTACAGCCAGAAGGAATAAATGAGTAAGATATTTCTTTTCACTAAGACAACAGATTGTCAGTTTAAATAATGACTTGGTCACAGATGCCACTATGTGAATCCTGGTAATAAGACTTGAATCAATGAAATCTAATCGAGTGTCATTTTTTTGGTTTCTGTTAGTGACTTAAAATTAAGAGATAGCAGAACCAAACAGAAAACAGAAAGTAGAAAAGAACCACTTTGTTGTGGGTATAAATACATGAAGGATTCAGAAAACTCTTCATCTGGGCTTCCACACAGCATGACATTAACATTAGGATTGATTGTGCTTATCTCAAGAAAAATAATAGTTCTACTTAACAATGCTGAGCCACTGTCTTTTACACAATCCTTTTCATTTTCCCCTAGAAAGGCAGTTATGAAAGAGCGCTGGACTAGGCTTCCTAGCCCTATGTCCCAGGCCCAGCTCTACCCCTACAAGCTGGGAACCCTTAGGCCAGCACCGACACCTCTCTGAGCCTCAGTTATCTCGCCTGCAAAATGGAGCTACTAGTAATTTCTGTGCTGCCTACCTCACAGGGCTGTCATGAGGACAAAATGGGTTAGACTGTAAACTGTAAAGTGCTGTCCAAATGTGAGATAACATGCTTACCATCCCCGTCTCTCTTTTGCAGAAGATTTAAATGTATTTCTTTGTTATTTGTGTGCGTGTGCGTGCGTGTGATGGAGAGACCCATGTGCTGCTTTGAGAAGCATATTGTTTGTGTCCAGTTACTTTGGGAACCTGCTGACTTGTGATTCCCGCGGAGGGATTTGTGCTGCGGTATAACACTTGCCACGCAAGGTATGGGCTCTGCCTATATGCAAATTAAACTTTGCCTTTCTTGAATTCTCAAGTGTCTCACGAGTCTCTTCATTTAATTCTTTTTGTATTTTTCTACTCTGTCTTCTTCGTACCAGTGAGCTCCTTCAGAAATGTTTTACTTTTATTTAAAGTTTAAGGGGAAAACCAGAAGTTCATGTTGCAGGTATTCAAAATCAGATAATTTGAAGGACCTCAAAAGAGATTTTAAGGGTCATCTAGTCCTACTCTCTCCAGGGTATAAATCTTTCCTGTGACACCCTGGCCCGTGTTTGGCTGCCTCCATGCACACACAACTCACTACTGCCCGAACAGCTCTGTTCACCTAATGTCAACTCGGTGCTGGTGGGCGTGTGCGGAGAGAAGACGAGCTGCGGAGGGGGAGGCCCAGAGCGGCCACCACTCGCTCTGACCTTGGACGGACTCCTCCTGGGCCTTCTGAGGCCAAGTTCCTCATCTATAAAATAAGGCTCATATCTGTCCCTAGAATTATTGCCTTTTTATGTGGAATAATATATATGAAAATATTTTGTTTTGCCAAGTAGATAGTTGCCCTAACCTTAGGGCTGAAGAGATCACACGGCAGCCGTTAAGTACAATCAAAACTGAAAAAAGGAAGAATCTGGGTCCCTCCTATCCCCTCGGCTTCCTTTCCCACTCCTGAAACCAGCGATTGGGCTGGTGGGAATCAGGAAGCCTGGTTCCTTTCACCTCATTCCTTGGCCATCCTTGCCTGTCAGTAAGTCTGGGTCCCACGATGTCTAGGTTCCAACAGGGTTCAGGGACAGAAAAGAAAGAAGCCCCAAACAGATTTCCTCTGAAGCAATTGATGTGAAAGTTGGGTATTTCACATCTGTTCCTGTCCTTATGGTGAGAGCCAGCCACATGACCACGCTGGCTACGAAGGACAGACAGAGCCCCGGGCTGTCACGGGAGCTGGCAATGATGGAGAGGAATAAAGACATACAACAAAGATCATGTTCGAAGGATTGTTAGGAATCTGGAGTCTCTGCTGTGAATCACGAGGAGGTTTCCACCTCTGTCAGCCACCTTCGTAATGTGCTTGAAGGTGACCAGGGCCCCAAAGAGTGGAACCCCCTTTACTCAACCATGTTCCAACTTCTCTTCTTCTGACCTTAATCACTAGCTTACATGAAATTACACTGTAAGATGAAGGCGGAGGTGAGGTGTATGGGTGGGCACCCTAAATATCAATTAGTAAGGAATGGGAAAAGAGAAAAAGAAGACATGTTTCTTATTGTAACTGCTGTTCTTTAAACTCTATGTTTCCATGCTCTCCAAAGCCTCATCATTTTCTGGGTCTTGGATCTGGGTTATTTCAGGGGTCACTGGATTTCTTTCACTTGGTGCCTGAACTGACTTGAAACTGTATGTGTGCAAAAGAACTATTTTGGGAAGAAATAAGCCTAGACTGCTCTCGCCCCTGTCCCCGACCCCACCCACAGAGCCGCCTCCTCAGCAGCTGATCAGCCCCACAAGACCTCCAGTTCCCTGCCCATTGTGCCAGGAGAGGCCCCCAGGGGCCCGAGGGGCCTGGTCCATCACGACAGAGTGTGCGAGCTGGGAACTCTGACCCCTCAGAAGGTCATGCTATCAGTTTGGTTGGTCCCAATTCACAATTGTCTTAATGAAGTTGCAATAGAAGGGCCTCAAAAATATCTGAATATGTCATATGTAGAAAGGGAAAGTATCACTCTGTAAAAATTTCAATGTAATGTAAGCTAGGTCATGATAACATGGGAGTTCACTGAGATGTGACAAATACACAGTAAAGTGCACGAATCTTAAATGTAAAGCTTGAGAAGTTTTTACATATGTGTGCACCCATACAATACTCCCAAGTCAGGGAATTTTCCACCCCCCAGAAGGCCCTCTCATGTGCTCTCCCAGTTGGTATCCCCATGTAGAGAGAAAATAGCTATTTTTGCCAAGGGTTAAGTTTAAAATAGTTGGAAACTCTGAAAGAGAGCCCCTCTAGGTGAAAGGTTATTCCTGGGCTCCACCCTCTGCCCCATCATCCCCTCTGAGCACCGGATGGGCCCTGAGGAGGAAAGGAAAGGGGCCAGTGGTAGACGTGTGCAAGTGTCTGCAGAAGCTGCCTACGTGACAGTTGCCAGGGGCCTAAGCAAGCTCCCTCCGCAAAGGCAGGGCTGCTGTCCAAAGTCCTGGGGGGTCATTGCTATTTGCGGTCAACCTTTCTGGTTCGTGGCAGGTGTCCCAAGGAGGCCTATTTTTAAGCAGGAATATGGCCTGCTGGGTTTTCTGGGTGGCATACTAAGCTGATGTGGATAGAAAGTGAGATTGTTTAGTAATCTACTTCAGAAGAGAATTGTGATTGTTATTGTCCTGGATGCGGGCCCCAGACGAGTTGGAAGGAGGTCTCTGGCACAGAGCTCCACCAGCAGCAGGGCAGCAGGAGCTTTAGACAACTTCTTCCTCTCAGAGCTCAGCTCGGGTGGGGGGATCATTCTGCAGACCTAACCTGGGCCCCAGAGATAGTAATCCTGAGAGAAGGTAGAAACGAGTCCCCTAATAGGACTGACAGTTTCACCAGCAGGCCCTTCCCCCTTGATGCCAGTTCCTGCAAGACTTGGCAGCCAGTGAGCTGGGTTGCAGGCTCCCAAACACCTCTCAGAGCTCTGGGAGAAGCAGCTTGCAAGACTGGGTTTGGGGGAGGGAAACATTTTGGAGAAAGGGCAGGTGCTAGAAAGACCCCAGGGCTGGGTGGCAGAGAAGTCAGTAGCTGGCCTTCAAGGGCACAGCTGGGAGAACAAGTGCAGCCAGAGGTCCTGGATGGGATTGGCCGGAAGGGCCCCAGTCCCGCCCAGCCTGGGAGCCTTTTCCGGGCCAGGCCCTGCCAGCCCCTTACACAGCTTGGCTGTGTGCTTGCAGCAGGACTCTCCGGAGACTCCGGCTCCAAGGTCAGTGATACCATGCCACTCAGTTTTATTCCCCCTAAGCGGCAGGCACTGCTAGAGCCAGTGCGAGGGGTCTTGTGAGCAGTGGACCCGGGGCTGTGGGCCGGGACCACACGTGGGACAGTTGTCTCCAACACTTTTGTGGTAACTAAAAAAGGCCCAGGTGCAGGTGCCAGGTCCATTCTGGGGGACATTCTGGTGCCGGATCCCTATCAGCAGTTTTTGATAGAGAATCAGGATTTTTACTTGATGGAAAAAAATCTAAATGTCACTAAATGTGGGGTTTGAACCTTAAACTTTTCCTTGTAATGTCCAGAGACTCATGGATCTGTTTCTGGGAATGTTTCCCTCCGCAGCACCAGAAGAGGTGCATATTGGGATATGCTAACTGGAAAATGAACCTTGTGAGGCCCCTGACAGGAGCTAATTACTAATTGGCCCAACAGCTGGGTCCAATTTAAACTGGTTCATATTATTGCTAGAGATTTATATTTGAAATTACTAACACATTAATAAGGAGCCAAGTACCGACAGTTCCCCACTGGAGGTGAAAATGCTGCAGCATTGGCCTCACTGTGTTTCGTCTCTGGCAAAGGCCCGTTCTGTGCTCGTGTGGCCGGCTGGCTCTCGGGGAGCCGCTGTCAGCCCCGTTCTGGTTTCGTGAGCAGGTGGCCTCTCCGCCTTTGAGTGAGTGCTCTGGTGGGTCTGGAGGGGTCACACTGGTCAGAACAAGGCAAACTGTCCTGGCTCTCCTCATGCTGCCACTCAGCCCCCTGGCTCTGCGACCCCCATGGGGTCACCTGGGATCGTGTGGGACTGCCCTTAGTGCCCTCGTGCGAGGCCCTGCCAGCGCAGGGCGTGCTGTTCCTGGGAGTGCCCTTGATCCTGTCTGCAGACCTCACACTGCCTGGTTGCTTGGCTTGTTCTCTCTATGCTCAGGAAGGACAAGACCACCATGAGGACTTGACAGGGGGCTTCCTGACCAAGCAGGCGCTCAGAGGAGAGCTGGGTGTCATCAGGCTGTGGGAGCGCCCTACATCCTCCTCTGCATTTATAGGGGTGCCTTTTCCCAAGACCTTAGTCTCTAGAGTTAAACCTTCCGTGGGTTAGGGCACCGTTCCAGCAAAGTACATGCTCCTGTGGACTGTGCCAGCTTCGGGATCGAATCGCCTCCTCAGTGAGTGGGCCAGGCCTGCTTTTCTGAAGCAGTGGCTGAGGAAGGTTCAGGAAACTGTGGATGGTGGGGGGTGGGGGGGATAAAGCATGAGGAGTCCTGGGTGTTCAGGGGCCAGCGGGAGATTGGTTCTGGGGCAGACTTGGTCCTGGCCCAGAGGCCCTGGGTCTCCGTCCCCGCGGCAGCCTGGAGAAGGATGCATCTGTGGTCTCAGAGGAGGCCATGCCGGAGCTTGGGTTGAGCATTCTTGGAGTTCCCGCCCACTGAGTCAGGCAGGAACCGAGGGAGCCAGTCTTGAAGGTGACTGCCGGAGGTCACATGCACCCCTGCCTGAGAAGCCACAGAGAACCATGAACCCAGGCAGGGAAGGAGGCTCCTTGTCCTTTATAGCATTTCAAAGGACTAGATGGTTCTCCCTTCCTATTTTTTTAAAAACCATCTACCTTAGATAGGAGTCTGGTAATTGTCCTATGTCTTCATCACAAGGAATCCTAGGAAACGCCTCTGACTCACAGGTAAAGACTGTAAACGTCTCCTGCCTACGACTTTGCACTTGCTGAATAGAACAGAGATGCCAAGGGGCCTGCTAGGCCGACAGTATATCCAGTGGTGATGAAGCCACGTGAACCCTTTGCCCTCTCAGAATGGGGGAGACAGCCATTTCCCGCTGGCCTAGGAGACTGACAATCGTGGGCGTTTGTTTAGTGTCCCGGGGAACCCCACCCTAGATGCCCACTATTTTGGGGTGACTCTCTCTGGATAGAAACTGACTTATGGTTCTGCCACTTCTCTCAGGCCCCAAAGGGCTCAGGCACATGGACACCATGTACAGCTGGACCAGAGATAACTCTGAGTCAGCAGAATGGCACCCATGATATCTCCAACCAGGATATTCAGGATGACCAGGAGGCTCAGAACTGAGGCAGAACAGAACCCAAGGCCTCTTCACTCCAGAATGTCACGAAACCAGTCAAGCCCTTAGACCAGGACCTGGACCCCCAGCACACTCGCCTGGGACAGAGACATATCCAGCTCTTGAGCACTCTGACCGAAGGGCGTGGTGTGTGGCTCTTGTTTGTTAATGGAGAGGGTGAGTGTAGGATAAAACAGCATCACTGCCTTTGGCTGTCATCTTGCCCACCCCCAACCCTCAGCCCCGGTAAAAATCTCCCAGGCTCAGAGCCCAGGAATTCTGCCACGTTTAGCCCGGATGCAGTAAATAATGCTTTACAAATCAGGAGAGTTCCGGAGGTTAGGGAAACTGAGGCAAACAGCTTCTACAGAGCTGGAGAGCACTCCCTGCTCCCCTCTGCAATCCTTACATCCACACAAAGGAGGAAAGAGGTGGGGAGGAAAGAGAAAACAAGAATAAATCTCAGAGAAAGGCAGACTGGCCCAGAGTCCCCAGCAAGGCTGGCTGTCCAGTTGGGCACCTGGCATCAAAGTGGAGTGGGCAGAGGTACCCTGGCATCCGGGCCACTTCAGCAGAAGTCCGAGGACGAGGGAAGAGAACAGGCTTATAATATTCTGGGACTCGGAGAGTCACATGCTCTGAGGTGATAATCCAACAACTAGGAGCCGCTGTGATAAATGCATGTCTATGGTCTTGGGGGTTTAACCAAGTGGTGTGATCCCTGGCACTCTTAGGTCCTAAAGCACAAAGGTCATTTTCCTGCAACTGATGATCAGTGGGGAGCTGTCTGTAAGCTGTGGGGTCTGCCAAAGCCTGAATCCAAGGCCAAATACAAGCCTGGGTTCCAGTCCCAGCTCTTTCCATGTGCCGGCCCTGAGATATGAAGCAGGCCACTTACCCTCTCTTGAGCCTCAGTTTCCCCCTCTGTAAAACAATGCCCACTTGGCAGGATTGTTGCAAGTACTGAAGACTGTTTGTAAGGACCACTGCATGGTGTGTGGCTCATGGTAGGAGCTCAATAAATGCTAGTTAAAAAAAAAGACAGTGAGGTTTGACCGGGTGTGCAGAGATGGAAAGGACCTTCCAGGTAGCCACAAAGCAAAAATTTCTGGTTTTTTATTTTTTATATTTTTTTCCATATCATATTCTGGAGAAACAAACGGTCATGGACTTCAGGCGGTTTGACATCCACAATGTCTAAACTACCCAGATTTTCCCAAGAAGTATGAAGGGGTGTGGGGGAGAAAGGAAGAAAGAGAAAAATGAACCAAACCACAGGAGGGGCTCGGGCTCCGGCCCTGGCTCCAGCAGTTCTTTCTCTTGCCTGTCGATCTCTATGTGGTGGTTCTGGGCCATGCGGTGAGGCCGTCTCATCCAGCCTCTCTGCTTTCCAGACACTCATCCAAGAGGAAGGATGACCAGTGCCTTCTCAAAGCTGCTAACTGGCCGCAATGCTTCTCTGTTACTTACCACCCTGGGCACCAGTGCCCTGACCACGGGGTACCTGCTGAACCGGCAGAATGTGCGTGCGGAGGCCCAGAAACAGCACAAGCTATTCCCTCCCAGGTAAGTCCTCTTGGCTTAAAAAAAAAAAACCCTTCAAGTGCCGGTAGGAATGTGTTTTCCCCTGGTGGACACTGCTATGGAGAAGACTAAGGCAAACGGACTCATTAGGCACCTTCACCCGTGGTGAATCCAAGGCAGTGGAGCATCGGCGTTCCTGCCGGAGCTTGCAGCCTGGTTAGATAGTGATAACAGTCACAGTTAACATTTGTTGAGCACTTTTATGTGTTAAGCACTAAATATGGAGCTCCTATTTTATTCAGCTTAGTATCTCTTTGCGATGAAACAGAGGCTTAAAAAAAATTAAATAGTGCCCAAGTTCACATAGCTAGTGCAGCCAAATGCAAATCCAGGGACGATGATGGTGGACTCACGTCTCTCTCACTGCTACGCTGCCTTCTGGAAAATGTGATGTTACTGTGCTGATTTTAAGCATCAGCTTTAAAGGACAGTGCAGATGGGACGTGGGGGTGTGGCATGAAGATGGACCAGTTTTCTCAGCCCTCGGAACCTGGCCGTGAAGGAGAGAGCACACACTGAGCCAAGCTGGAGCGTGGAGCTGGTTCACGGGGCTCTGCATAGGCAGGTGTAGGTGGAAGAGTCAGGGAAGCTTGGGGGGTTGTCCTGTGGGAATCAGGGTCTCTGGGGGTGCTACAACTCCCACCATGTACCTCAGGAATTTCGGAGGTGAGACTGCCTGTGTTTGAACCTGTGGTGGTCCTAAACCCCCTATTCTTCAACCAGTTCATATCTCAGGGTAAGGTAGCACCCCATGCTATTTCTTTCTATGCATTATTCCCACAGATATTTACTGAGTGCCAGTTTCAAAAGCCAGACACTGTTCTCAACAAAGCAGGTGGCCATGGAGCTCGCATCACAGGAAGAGGATGGATAAATGACTGCATTTCTATGTAGTCCCGCCTGCGGGGTTTCGGCCTCTTTACCACCAAGTCTAAGGGACCAAAATGTGCCCATTGAATTTTACAATAACTTTAGGGTTAAAAACACCTTCATGTGATTTTGACTTATTTTCTAGTTATTTTCACTTGATCACTTCTTTACATGAACACAAGTCACAGTCTGGGGCTGCCGCAGCCCCCATCATGGTCCAGGTCCCTTTCTCTGGCAGTTCAAGAGGCTTTTTGGTTTTTTTAAATCTGGCTCACTTAATTCCTGACTCCTGGCCAAGTGTCCCTGTGCCTCCTGGCTAAAGAGAGCCTGGTGGAAGGAGGGGCCAGCAGAGCCCATTCACAGACCCCCGCTTTCAGGGTCCGCTCACGGAAAGCCTGTCCCCTTGGTACACAGTGCAGACTACCCCGACCTTCGCAAGCACAACAACTGCATGGCCGAGTGCCTCACCCCCGCCATCTACGCCAAGCTCCGCAACAAGGCGACGCCCAGTGGCTACACCCTGGACCAGTGCATCCAGACTGGAGTGGACAACCCCGGCCACCCCTTCATAAAGACGGTGGGCATGGTGGCTGGCGATGAGGAGTCCTATGAGGTAAACTATTAGCTGTTGGTTCCGGAATGGTGGGAAGGGGGAGGCTCTGGGTCCCACCAGAGCCCTTTCCTCTATGGGTCCAGCTTGCTGCCTTCTCATGCAGGGCTCCTGTAACGGGAAGCCGGCTTCAGAACATCTGGAATGTTCTCTAATGAGCCTACAGTTTTTCAGGGCCAAGGCTTCCTTTGCTGCTGCACTAGAATGGGTTGCATGATGGAGCTCTCTGAGATTAACAAGCGAATAAATAAATCAGTATAGGAAAAAAGTAAAGTCTTTTCATTTATTGTATTGGTGATGTCTATTCACCTGTAAGACATTAGGAGATGATGTGTTAGTAGTGGCTGGGCTTTATTGAGGGGTGAGGATGGTGTGGTGCATCTTCAGTTTGAGAATTACTGGTTATAGCCACCGTAGCCCAGACTTCTGAGATCAGGTCTCTTGGAGAAATCCTGTGATCTCTGCATCCTCAGCCTCATGCAGAAGCACAGGATGGCATGCTTCAAGGGGTGCTCAGCCACCACGTGGCCCTCTCCACAGAGCAGCTTCTGGTCAAATGTCTCCAGCCTGCCTCCCTGAGGTCCACCCTCCTTGCACCCTCTGCTGCAGGAAGCTGAAGGCAGTTCCCTGGGAAGCAGCCATCAGAAGGGGGGAGGGGCTGTCTGGAGGAATGGTGGCTCCTTTCTGCACAGCAGGGCACATGCTGGGCTCTGAGTCCCAGACTAGAGCTAGCTCCCTGGACCCAACACCCACACCCCTTACTTCCCACAGCTCCCAAAGCCTGCAGGCTGCTCTGTTATGACATCTCTTAATGTTCCTTTACCTAAAGGTTGTTCCTGAAGTTCTTAGTTTTTAAAAAATAGATTTTGCATGAGATATTTGGGGCTGGGAAGGTCCTCGCAGGATGACAGATCCCTGCTTTGCCTTAACTGATGCTGTATACTTTTCTTCTGGTGCAGCCGTCTTTCCATGAAATTATGGTGTTGCTTAAACTGACTCCCTTTGGACTGCAAAACTGCATAACCTCTGATCTAGCAGCTTCTTTTATCCCACAAAGGAGAAAGCCCTCAAATTCTGAAATGCAGGATTTTCTTGTTCAGCCTGATGGCAGTGAGCTTGCAGAACAGTTGGGGAGGAGGGTGCACCGACAGAGTCCTGCAGCCTTTCCCTCTCCTGAGGGGCAAGGTGCTTCTGAGAGGTTTTCTCTGCTATAAGTCTATCATCATCATCATCATCATCATCATCATCAACCACTAGTCCACTCTCATACCCATTTCCTGCATGGTAGTCTTTTACTAGTAGACGAAACAAGTAAAGAAGAAACAGGAGCACCTTTCCTCCTGCAGGTGTTTGCCGACCTTTTTGACCCTGTCATCAAACTCAGGCACAACGGCTACGACCCCAGGGTGATGAAGCACCCCACAGATCTGGATGCGTCCAAGGTAGGCTCAGCTGCCTCCGAACCCTGCTGTGAAGCTGGCACTCCAGAGCCCATGTGCGGGTGCCTGAGAGCGGGGCCCCTGGGTCCGATGCCCCTTAAAAGTTCTGTGACCCGGTGGTATAGCATACTTCCTGGAGGGTCACCCCCAGAAGGTCAGGAAAATCCCAAAGCCTTTGTTTTCCTTAGTAATTACTACTAGGGTAGTGTGGTCACTAACTTTAATCTTTTCCTCAAGCATTTCCTTTTTCCGTACCACACGTAACTGCGTGTGTGTGTGTGTGTGGGGAGGGGGTGCATGGTAAATTATTTCAGGCAGTACTGTGCAAATAGCTCTGCCTTGCCTCACTTTTCTGTGAAGCATCTACCGCCCACCCAGAATTCCAGAATGTGTCTACCGTGTTAGTTGTGTAAATGTGCCCAGGGCCTCAGGGTCCCTTCAGGGACACTGCCAGTCAGCGGCTTGTGGCTGTGGCAGGACCGCGGTCCCAGGCTCGCTGTGGTGACCCCATGCTGTGCTCTGCAGATCACCCAGGGGCAGTTTGACGAGCGCTACGTGCTGTCTTCTCGTGTGCGCACTGGCCGCAGCATCCGCGGGCTGAGCCTGCCGCCGGCCTGCAGCCGAGCCGAGCGCAGGGAGGTGGAGAACGTGGCGGTCACGGCCCTGGATGGCCTCAAGGGGGACCTGGCTGGCCGCTACTACAGGTTGTCTGAGATGACGGAGCAGGACCAGCAGCGGCTCATTGATGTGAGTGGCCCCTGAACCCCCCGGGGCTGCCGGGATGGGGCTGAGCAAGATGCCCTGACCCACACAGCAGGTCTCCCCCAGAGCTCAGGCGCCTGCCCTGGCTAGGAGCTTGCTGGGGCCTCTGCGTGTTCAGAATAGTGAAGATGAGGCCTTAAAACTTTAGGTGAAGCCATGCAAATACTCTAAGGGTAAAACCTGCAGAGGAAACTCCTATATGGATTTGGTGGGTTGGGGATCTGTGGGTGGGGGTGAACGGAGGACTCCCCAGCTTGTTGGTGAATGGGAACAACTACGTGTGGAAAAGCCTGTCTGCACTCTGAGGATGGTCCCCATTACCACACTCGAAAGCCTGGAAACTAGGCAGGCCTGGAAAGGAAATTACCCAGGTGGAAGGCAGGCCCTGATTGGCATTGGAGCCAGCCTCTGGGATTCCATATCCTCCACGGCCTCACTCTAACTCTAGAGTAGACAAAGCCCAAGTTTCTTACTTATTTTCCCCTAGCACAGCTAGAACAGGATGGCAGTTTCAAAAGAAACTTTAAACTGAAGTCCAAGAAGCAGCAGAAACAATACATGTCATTTTGAAAGATGCAATGCCACAAAAGGTGCCTCCGTTTCAAACCTGATGGGCCAGCTTCATGGGCTGTGGGCCTCTGTCTCCTGGTCTCTGCAGCCACCTGGTCAACCTCCCCCATCGGGTTACAGAACGAGCCCTCCTGCACCTCAAGGAGCCACTTCTGGTTTCTGGCTTCTGGGGCACACTCTCTGTGCTGGCCCAAGTCTCTGACCTCTTCTCTTTCTCAGAGGTGGAAGGAAGACTTCCTTCCCCACATCCTCTGGATTTTTTACTCCGGTGCAATAATAATTGAATACATGGTATCCATATTCCTGTTCCTACTATGTACACACAGGAAGAAGAATGTCAGTCACTTGACATTGGTTTTGACATGGAGAATAGTATATTGAAGGCACAAGCTTGGGAGTCATAGATTCGAATTTAGTCTCCACCACCTCCTAGCTTTGTGATATCGTGTAGGTTATTTTCTCTTTCTGAATCTCAGTTTTTTTTCCCACTTATAAAATAGAATGATTACACTTGCCTCATAGTGTTGTGAGATTTAAGGAAATAAATTAAAAGCACATAGCGTAAAGCCCAGCACATAGTGAGCATTAAATGAATGGTGGCTGTTTTTATTTATAGATCATTATTTTACATTTCTAATACTTTTTAAGGGAAGGAATGATAGAGAATGAACCAATAGCATTAGAAACGTGGAGAATGGTGGCTGTGTAGAACAGACTCTTCAGGAGAGCTCCCGTTACTCGCTGCCCACTCTGTGTTGCATAGGGTTGGTGCTCTTAGGGTTCACACACTCCGTTGCGATGCTGTATTTCCATCTGGGCTAAGCCCTTGGGTTTCAACCTTACCTGTACACTAGAATCACTGGAAGAGCTTTTAAAAATCCTGATGTCAGCACCACACTTTGTAAAAATTGTCAGGATCTCTAGGGGGTGGGCATTAGTACTTTTTTTTAGTACCCAGGTCATTCTAGTAGGCAGCCAAGGCAGAGAACCATGGCCTGAGACACCTCAGCCACCATTAGTTAGTTGAAACTTGGATACCTGGCACTTGCTGTCATGTCTGATCTCATCAGTTTCTCCTTTCTGCTTTGTCCCTTTGGCCTGCAGGACCACTTTCTGTTTGACAAGCCAGTATCGCCTTTACTAACATGTGCCGGGATGGCCCGTGACTGGCCAGATGCCAGGGGAATCTGGTATGGACATAGCATCTCCCATTTGCGATGTGTGCAGAGGACTTCCTGCGGGTCCTCTGCTTGTCCTAACCCAAAGCAACCCAAAGTTGCTTTGACTTGAACTTGACAGCATGCCTGGCTTCAGCTCACTGGAGAAGAGAGTAATCAGAAATTACCTGTGTGTATAATACCTAAGTATTGCAATGCTTCTAAGAAACATAGGAATGTTTGCTGGTTTGCATGAATTATGCATGAGAAAAAGACTGTATTTTTAAGAAAAAAATTAGCTTCATATTATTTGACCTCACAGAGAATCTGTTTCATGACATTAAAACAAAAGAACAGAAAATGAAAAATAAATATTAGGATTTAAGCAAAACCCTACATGGAAGAATGGATATCGAATAGACATAGATTTTATCTTGGCCAACTTTGATCCCGGTGCCTTGGTAGGTCATTATGACACTGCCCACAAGAGATGCGATGACAGGGTCCACGAGCAGCTGCTTGGTGGGGGTGGAGAGGCAGGGTCCGTACAGCAAACATAGTGAATGCTTCTGTGCCACAGGTACCTCAGGCTTCAGGTAAAATCTTTTTTTTTTAAGGACAAGATTGTGGTTGAACCTATTACGAAGCAAAATACTCCTGTTAGTGTCAAAGCCAAATGTTAGGATAGTTGAATTATTGTCAGACTAGTCTGTTGAATGAGGGAGATTACATTCTTGTTGGGCAAAAACATGACATCTCTAAGGGCTGAAGTTGCTCTTATTCTTCATTCTGTCACAGTAACAGTATTTTGTAGTACTTGTTCAGGCACAATTAAGAGATTAGGGCCATCTAGGAAATGAGAAATGTGAAATGAAGCAATCAAGCTACAGAGGTAATGGGAATTTTCATGTGTTGAAACAAATATAATTAACACTCAACACCATATTTCTCTCTTCATTAGGCATAATTATGACAAGACATTTCTCATCTGGATTAATGAGGAAGACCACACCAGGGTAATCTCTATGGAAAAAGGAGGCAACATGAAAAGAGTATTTGAGCGATTCTGTCGTGGACTAAAAGAAGTAAGATGTTATCAGGGGTTTCTGAATATTCACTAAAATAAAGTATCTTTATTTTTTTCATTGTTAAAAGACACTATAGTGACTTCCAGGATGGGGCTAATTTTGTTCTAGGGATCATGGCACTCACAGCATACACCTTTCTCCCTGAAGTTTGGGATGTGCCGAGTGAAGGGATATTTGGGAACTCCGTCATTTGTTCTCTGTTGTAGGTAGAACGCTTAATCCAAGAACGAGGCTGGGAGTTCATGTGGAATGAGCGCCTAGGATACATTCTGACCTGTCCTTCGAACCTCGGCACGGGATTACGGGCTGGCGTCCACGTTAAGATCCCAAAACTCAGCAAGGTAATGTTCTACAGCCAGCAGCCCTGTTGGGTTCTTCTAGGATCAGCTCAGATGGGACTGTTTTGTAGAGGGGGTAAATGTCACTGCCCATGACTTAACCCCTACGTTCTGTATGTATGGCCAAAATAGTGAGAAAGGCTTAAGTTTACCTCAAAAGAATTTGTGTCAGTAGGAAAGAAAGATGAAGGACTGTAAGAAAGCGCTGTGGCTTCAAGAACAAGAAGTGTTAAGTTCTCCCTCACAGAACAAATCCGAATAGGTAGGCAGGCTGCTCTGCTCCTTGAGGTTCCTTCCATCTCTTTCTCTGTCCCTCCCAGTGCAGAGGTTCTCAGACTTGAGACTGCATCAAGATTGCCTGGAGATCTGTAAAAGCACAGATTGCTAGGCCCACCTGCATAAATGCATTTCTATGAAGTCTCCAGGCAATACCGATGCTGCCAGGGAACTACACTTGGAGGACTGCTGTCTCAGGGCACTGTCCTCTTTAAATGGTGACTGTCAGGCCCCGAGTTCTAGCTTGTGGGAAGGGGAGAGAGCATGCAGGTGTTTCTATGTAAAGATTTCAGGTCTGGGCCTGAAAGTGGCACACATCACTCTGCCCACACTTAACAAGCAGTCACTTCCTCAGCTCCACTGTGGCAGAGCAGGGGAAAAGTGTTCCAGTAGGCAACTAATAATTTCTGCAACAGCACACCAAGTGAACCAAATACGTGGAAACAATTTTAGAAAATGTGCTTCTTGTCAAAAAAAAAAAGGTGGGAAATTTTTGTTGCTCAAAATTCCAATGCTAAAAAATTATTTGACATGACTTCATGGTTTTAATTATATCAGTGAACTATTAATAGATTAATAATAAATACTCACCAAAGCTGGCATCCAGATGCTAAAAAAGTAGTATAGAAGTTAATCACTTGAAACCTATATAATTTTATTAACCAATATCACCCTAATAAATTTAATAAAATAAAAAAAACGTTAATAATAGCTCTGCAACCTTCTAGATGTATGGCCTTAAGCAAATAAATACCTCTGAGCCTTAGTTTCCTCATCTGTGAAATGGGGGTGAAAGTATTACCAACTTCATGGGGATATTCTGAGGTTTAAAAGTTGCAGCACACCCCCTGGTTGGTGTGACTCGGTGGATTGTGGATTGAGTGCTGGCCTGCAAACCAAAGGGTCACTGGTTCAATTCCCAATCAGGGCACATGCCTGGGTTGCAGAACATGTCCCTGGTAGGGGGTGCTCGAGAGGCAACCACATATTGATGTTTGTCTCCCTCTCTTTCTCCCTCCCTTCCCCTCTTTCTAAAAATAAATAAATAAGTAAATAAATATATTTTTTAAAAAGAAAAAAATAAAAGTTCCAGCACAGCACCCTGGTACATAGTAAATATGTGTTTAATAAATATCGACTGTTAATTTCTCTCATTTTCTAAGTGAATGTGCCAATAACACTGAATCGATTTTGCTTCTTACCACACTGCATTACCCCTGTCCCAGGATCCCCGCTTTTCTAAGATCCTGGAGAACCTGAGACTGCAGAAGCGTGGCACGGGCGGTGTGGACACCGCGGCGGTGGCAGATGTGTACGATATTTCCAACATAGATCGAATTGGTCGATCAGAGGTAACATCCCTCTCACTCTCTGAACATGAACGAACAAAATCAGCCTATGAGAAACAGAAGTAGCCTGAACAACCTTACATGATTCACAAAATTTGAGACCTCCTCTTTCCCCATTAAGGCCCAAGTCAGGTTAGTGTTTCATTCTGCAGTGCTATTCGCCCACGGGAAATAACTGCGTAAAGGTAAGCACAATGTTAGCTGAGAACGTACAGGCAAGTAAAAGAATTCACAGTGGGGCTGTTGTCACCCAGGTGCCCCTCGGGGCTGTTCCCGCGCTCTGCAGGAGAAGGAGCACTGTTACGCTGAAGGACAGTATTTCATCACTGTGAAGTCAGAGAGTATGTGTGCTTGCTCTCTCTTTGAGGGCAGTAAAATGGTGGAATTTTTTCATGATTCTGAATTTCCTTTGGTGAAGGCCACATTCTGTCATCGTCAATTAGGCATTTTAAGATTCTTGATACTTTCTGAAATATTATTTTTAGGGCTAAAATAGGAAATAATGTATTCACTAGGTATATATAAGATTATGCTCATAAAATAATCCTTAGGATTCTGAGAATGCACAGTATGAAAAGGATTCATAAACTATATATAGGCCTGGAGCAATGCATGAAGTGAAGCACAACGAGCATACTTAAGGTCCTGGCTAGGTGACTCGGATGGTTGGAGCGCTGTACCGTAAACCAAAAGGTTGTGAGTTCGATTCCCAGTTGGGACGTGTGTACAGGAGGTAACCAATTGATGTTTGTCTCTCACATCCATGTTTCTCTCTAACTCTCTCTCCCTCCCTCTCTCTCTAAAAAAATCAATAAACATAGCCTCAGGTGAGGATTAAAAAAAAAGAGCACACTTAAGGAACATGCATCTGAATCCTGAGCAAATGCCGATCTCAGCACATTGTACCACCTTATCTAGATGTGGTCCTATGGGATGTGTTATTCTCATCATTAATTTAAAAGCCTCTTATTATTATTACATACAACTCTTAATAACTCAGTGGCTGGTTATTAAATCTGTAGATTATCAATGCTCGCTCTACTTCCTAGACAGCTTTTGAATATTTCATTGCCTGTTAGTATCCCTACCAGTAAACTTAGGAAAAGAAAGGAGAAAATACTCAAAACAATTAAACCAGCTAGTGTGTTTATCAGCTCTGGTAAAGTACCTGAGGAAGAAGCAGTTAAAAATGTCACAGCTTCTGAAGTTTGCTGAATAATGTGTGGTACTGAGAATAAAGAACACCCGGGCCTGGTCCCGTCTGCTTCCAGTGATGACCAGGTTTCTACTAATGGAAAGCAAGGCAGTCAGTGCTTTGAAAAAGATTTTATGTCTAATTAAGTTAGAGTTAATAGATGATCCTTATAAAAGCTCGAAAAATGCCCAAAAGTATAAAATTCAACCTAATAACCCTGAGATAACATTGTGAACATTTTTCTGATTTGCCTTCCATTATTACAGTTATTCAAAAAACCTTTTTTTTTACAAAATTTGATGTTATATACTTGATATTATAGCAAAGCTTTTCCCCAATGTATTCTACTCTAAGCATTTCCCTATATTCAAAAGCATGTTTGATAACAGTCCATCAAAGATAGTCTGTTATCTTTTAATGTCTCCCTGGTTATTTGATGTTTTGTTTAACTGCCTTTATATATAACTCTAAGATAATCTCTTTAAATAACCCTAATTATAACTCTGATTATTTAGTTAGGATAAATTCCTAGGAAAGGAATTCCTGGGTTAAGGGTGAGGGGTCCTTATAGCTAAGTTTCCTATCAGAAGATTTATACCAAGATAGAGTCCCCATTGGCAATGAATGTGACACCATCCACCATACCCTGTTCAAAACTAGGATAGGCCCATTGGATGAGTAGAAAAGATGTCTTTGCTTAATCATGATGAGCTTTCTGATCCAACCCTCTCACTGAGCCTCAGTTTCTTTATGCATGAAAAGAGGTGGGCAGGGGACTGGACTCCCCCCTGCGTAAGGTACGTTCAGATGTAATACTCAGCAATCCCTTCCATCCTTGCTATTCATCCTTGTGTTATATAATGTATTTTAGTGCAGTCTGGGGTTAACTAATTGCTTGCTGGCTTAGTTTGGGTCTCTACAGGAACAGTGCAAGTAATTTGTTAGGGAGGTGACCCCAGGGAAAATTCATATGTAGATGTGCTCTAATTTAAAAAATATATATTTGTAAACAAAAGTTCAATATTTTTTCAAAAAGCAGGAATTTTAGAAGTTTATCTTAATATAAACCACAAAGTTTCCTTTAAGTAGAAACTTGTCTGGTACATTGGAAATATGATTTAATTGCTATATATTTGATTTTAAGCAATTTTCAGAAAGACATTTACTATGTAAATGATAATATCTGAATTATAGCATTTTCAGTGCTTGGATAGCCTAGTGGGAGGTCAGAATCCAGGTCCAGGACAAAGAACAATACAAGGTTGACAGTGTGTATTTTTACCTTTAAACAAACTGTTATTTTATAGCTGAGACTGATGGGGGGAAAGTTTCTGATATGCAAACTGAGGGTTTTCATATATAAAGAAAGTTCTCACACACAAAGCAGTGACCCTGCTTTAACTAAAGAAGATGGGGAGAAGCCCTGTAAAAATCTGTACTTCCCGTCTTTGACAGTGACTGTCAGGCATCTGTCCTCCCACCCTGGGGGGAAATAAGGAGGAGAAATGGTTAGAAAGTCTAGCTACTGCGGCAAGCTCTCATTATGCCAGTGTTGATCACTGCATTGCATGTGCTGTGTATGAAAATTAATCATTCCTATTTTTCACGTCAAAGGTCGAGCTTGTCCAGATAGTCATCGATGGAGTCAATTACTTGGTGGATTGTGAGAAGAAGTTGGAGAGAGGTCAAGATATTAGGGTGCCGCCACCTTTGCCTCAGTTTGGCAAGAAGTAAACTTTCCCCTTCCCAGTTTATAAATAATCTGTCTGCTGGTATGACAGACATAAAGAAACTTAGACTCTGAGAGTTTTTGTAGACTTGGGAAAATGTAAAATTGTATATCCTGTCTATCTTTACAATAAAACTCTCCTTAATCTCTTTGGTTCCTCTGATTTTTTTTTAATGCTAATTGGGACAAACAACATCCAATTACAAGTAGCAGGAAGCAAAAATATTCTAAGGCAATGATAAAAATAATACTTGTAATTCTGCTTACACACAAATCTAGAAACCCTCCAACTATCTAGATGCTACTATGGTCAATCAACCCTTTAATGAGCCCCTTTGGACACCATTGAAAAATGGTGAACTAATATAATTTTCTGACAAATAGAACAAGAAGAGATTCATTTCTCTTGAAAGTGTAGAAATAGCAGAGACTATTTATTCAGGGCTTTCTATAGCAAGGGAGTCAGCAACCATCCCTTAAATTTGGCAGACACTCTGAAACAGGTATGGGAAAGCTTTGTGGTGAGAAAAGGGAAAGGCCTCAGGTATACTGTGAGTGGGGTTGGTGGAATGTGGAAATTGGAGGTAGGCTAACTAGAAGCAGGGTGTACTATGGAACTGCCTTGGAGAGTATATCTGACATTCTCTGGTTGGTCCTGAAGTGGAAGCAGGAACAACAATTGGGGAAGCTTGCAGACACTGACCAAGCCCAATCTCTGGACTTATTGCTGCAGAGATTGCAGTCCGACTTCCTGAGCTGATTGCTGCAGAAGTGGAGGGTCAGAATTCTGGCCATTGTCTGTTTGTATATTCAGTCTCCAAAAGCAACTCAAAACTTGATGCCTGAATTATTGTAGATGTGGTTAGTGTTATTTGAAACCTGATTTCTTCCCTCAGCATGAAGACCCTTACCTTAACTCAGACCTTGTTATTCTTTTCCATTCATCCTGTGATGTCTATAACCTGAAGTGGGGTGACAGAAGAGGTGGGAGCAACTAATTCTGTAAAAAGTTATAAAATCACTTCACATACAAAATTAAAATTTTGTTAGCTTGAATAACAGAAATGAGATCAAGTTCTGAATTTTGTGAGTACTGTAGGTGCTCCAGTTAAAACAAATCTCTGCTGTTATGTAAGCATTTGTCTTTCCCCCTGCTACATTTAAACAATGCGGTATAAAAAGAATATATCAGTGCTGGAGCTAACAGGTAGCACAATAACTGGTGAGTGACAAATTGATATGTGGTCGAAACTTAGAAGAGGAAACCACATCCAGTATAATTCAGGACATCCTGCTAAAATCCCTGAATAGGATGAGGTGGAGGCATGTCCTACAACCAATCCTGGTAGGCCAAAGAGGAATCAGAACCCCAGGCAGTGACTGGTACTATGGGGACAGAGGGATAGAGGGTAGAGAAGACTGGTGTCATGGCCAAGCACATTGACTCTACAGCCACACTGCTTGAGTACAAGTCCCAATTCTTCCACTATATGAGATTAAATGATTTCCTTAGCCTCTAGGTTCCTCAGTTGCCTTTGTATAAAATGATGACAATAATAATACCAATCTCAAGGGTTGATGGAGTATAAAAGTAATAATTGTAAAGTTCAACACATTGTAAGTACTATATAAGGGTTTGCTGAATAAATAATAAACAAAGGAATATTATAATATTATAATCTATCCTTAATATCCCTTAAAATCATCCTTTAGGGCAAACCAACAGACCTGACAGTTTCTATTCTGAAAGATGTTACTCATAAAAGTGGTAAAGGAAGACAAATTCATGCAGCTAAAGAAACATGAGCATAAATGGGATGAAGAGACTAGATAGGGACACATACCAACATTTAATTTTTTTAGAAGCTGAAAAACGAACCCTGGCATAAAAATACATGTGTCTACCAACATAAAAAGAAAGCATGCCTAGTCACCTCTAGCACGGCATCCCAAGCAACATTAAAAACATCAATTACAACAGGAATTAACTGACTAAGGTACAGAGCTAACATCTCTGTCCTTTTTTATTGCACTTTTACCCAATTCATTTCTCATTTTCAGCCATTAGATCTACTCATCAATAACTACACTAGCATTGGCATTCAGTACTGGCTTGCATGCAGACCATTAGTACTTAAACTTTATCTTATCTACATTTGAAACTCTTGATTTGTGGGGCTGTTTGACCTTTATCGTATTACCAGAATTGTACTCCTATGTGGCTTTACTCTTTAAGAATAAGATGATTCACAACTAAAGATAGTCATTTAAACCAAGTCTAAAATGGATTCTTAAACACTCAATCTGACACCTCACTTTTTTTGAAATCCTCCATATTCATCAAATATCCTTCCCTGACAGCTCTTCAGACAATTTTCAGATCATGTAATAGCACTTAAATTGGGTACAAGAATATCCTTTCTCCTCAAGCATTGCCAAGCATTTAAATGATATAATTCTGTTTGCAGAAGTTATGGTAAATTATACTTTGACACAAGAAACAAGCACATTTGCAGTGTTACAGTGAAAGTAAATGATTTTTTTTATGTGAAAGATGAGTCAATTGGACAAGATAAAGGACTTTTAACTATGAAATTCTAATTGAATGCTGTATCCTTCAGCCAAAGTAGTATGCAAATAGTTCCTGTTTACTAAGATCTAGTTCGATCATTATTCAAAAAGCAGGACTTCCACTCAAAATGGTGGCATAAGTAAATGTGCCACCACCTTCCCACAACCACATCTTCCCACAACCACATGAAAAATACAACTAAACTACAGAACAACAATCACTCAGAACTGCCTAAAATTTAGTGGAATGGAAGTCTTACAGCTAAGGATATTAAAAAAAAAGCCACATTGAGACTGGTAGGAGGGGCAGAGGTAGAGAACATGTTGGCCCCACATTCATGGGTGACAGATAAAAATCAGGAGGGATATCACAGCTGTATAAGTGCCCCCTGAGGAGCAAGGGGTCCCAGCCCAACACCAGTCCCCCCAGCCCAGGCTTCCAGTGCCAGGAAGAGAAGTCCCCATAACTTCTGGCTGTAAAAGCCAGCGGGGATTGTGACTGAGTGAGACGGAGAGCTTCTGGAGTCCCAGACAGTTCCTCTCAAAGGGCCTGTGTATGGATTGAGTTGGCCTCACTCTCTCTCTGAGTTCCAGCACTGGGGCAGAGGCTTGAAAGGGACACATGGGGAGTAACTGAACTGTCTGGCATCAGGGTGAGAGCTGGAACGGAAGCTTTCTCCTAGACAGGAGCACTGGCAGAGGCCATCATTCCTTCAATGAGTCCTCCCCACACAGACCCGGAAGGTGGACACCCATATTTGAGTCTCTATCAACCTGGCTAAGACTTCACCCCACCCAGGAGACTCCCTGAGACCCTGCCCTACCAAATTGTAGACCCACACCATTGTTTCCAGTGATTTTCATACAAATGGCCTGTCTTGGCTCATGTTTCAGGTTTTCCTAAAATGTCTCAAACAAGCAGCATTTGGCCTCAGCATGCCCTGTACCTCTCATTAAGTGGCCCTAGGCTTAGCACTAGTGTGGTTAGTGGAAGACAACCCTTCTTCACAGTTTGGCCCCTCCTGGCCATCTCCAAGCCCAGCACACATAGCAGCCATCTGCAGATTGCTTTGTAGCTCATGCCATGTGGCCCTGGACAAAAAACAGGTAGCAGCTGACTTTTGCCTGCACCTCTTGGGAGGCTCCAGAACCAGCACACCCTTTGGACACCTTTAGACCTCATCAGAATACCACCCAATCACCTCCATAGGTAACACTCTCAATTGGTGGACAAGGCAGGCACCAGAGCCCTGCTGAATTAAGTCTTGCTCTTTAGGGTGAGCTCCCTGCACAGCTGGTCCTCCATGGTGGTATGTCTTAGTATACAAGCAGCTCTGGAAATAGAAATCTCTTTTAAATAATGCAGGGGAGGCTAAAAGGGAAGACCCTGGGCTTCTGGGATGTAAAAGCTGTGCTGCTGAAGGCACGGGCAAACATGCGCAGTGGAGATGTAGAGATGTGTAATTTGTGATCACTCTGCAGACATGGCTTGAATTACTTGGAACTCATCAGTACTGATGAGGCACTAACTGCATTCAGGTGCACTTCAATCAGAACTGGATTATATCATTAAAATTAATGAGGCACTAGAAGACTTTAATGAGTAAAAGAGGGTTGGTTTTAAAGTCTTTTATGCATTTTATTCATTTGACAACAATTTGCTTGACGGTGCAATCACATCTTTCTCTAGAAGACAGGTAAAAAGTTTTGGTTATTAAAGGTTTTAAGTAACACATTATATTCAACATGCTCTCTAGTACATCTCTTCAGCATTCACTTAAATGGTCTAATGGTTTAGCTTAATTAAAACAGAGCTCAATTTATCTTTTGCTGTCCTGGAGTTTTAAGAATAAAAACTAAACAATTGTTCTCTCTCAAATCCCAAGTTTTCCAATGTATTGCTCAGATGTGGATTTTCTCTCTTTTAATGCTGTTAGCACATTCGGCCATTTTTAAAATCTCTTCTAGGAATATATTTATCTTGAGTGTGTGTGGGGAGGAACCCAACCAAGTAATGCTTTATTATGAGACTCAGAATATGAAACTGAGAAGGACAGATGAATATTTTGCCAGGTATCAATGTGTATTTTAACATTATCCTAGCAAATAAGAGAATGAAATACAATAGTCTCCCCTTATCCATGGGGAATACATTCCAAGACCTGCAGTGGATGCTGGAAACAGCAGAGTGTGTGTGTGTGTGTGTGTGTGTGTGTGTGTGTGTGTGTGTGTATCTGTATATATATATGGTTTTTTACTATACATACTTATAACAATAATTAATGAAATAGAAAAATGATAATACTCTGGTGCAACATGTTGACAACAACTTGAACACACTTTCTGTTCATGTCTCCCACTTACAAATTTAATGCTTTTCCATCATCACTTATCATGCACTATGGCCAACAGCAAAACTAGCACAAATTTCTTTTTCCTTCTTCACAGTTTCACATAGATTTGTTCTTAACATAGATCTCAACCGCTTCAGCATATAGTTTTTTTCTTTTCTTATTAAGTCAAGAACTTCCACATTTTCACTTAAAGGAAGCACTTCATGGCTTCTCTTTGGCATATC